CCTTCGACGGCTAACGTCCCAAATTTAACTCGTTTAAAAAATGAGCAGTGATTTCGCTAGTTGCATTTTTTTCACAACACAAACCTTATTTCACTTGCCTATATCTCATATAACTCTTATAACCCATAGATCTCATGTAAAGCAGCTTGTAAGTAGGTAACTGTTTTTCTTATTTTACATAAAGTCGAAAAACAAAAGTACCACCCTCTATAAATTAGAAGCATTGGAGTATCAATTTTCACCTATAAATGATTGAGATCTAAAAAATGTTAGAGAGACCCTCTTTCCCAGACCATAGCAATGGAAATATATGACATAAGTTTCTTAAAGTTAAAGTTCCCTTAGGTTTAGAATTAACTTAATTCAAACGAGGTGGATAAAATTCTTTATTCCGTATATAAATGGGTCTCTTAGGTAGATAATTAACTTTTGTGTATTCATAAATAATTCTCTTGAATTAGATAATTCACTCACTTAGGTAGATAATTAATATTCTTGAGTAGGTATTGTAAGCCTTTTAGAAAGATAATTGAATATCATTGACACATAATTGATTCTCTTGCATAGATTAAATACCTCATAGGTAAATATCTCATAGGTAAATATTTTACTATCATGAATGCATCAGTTTGTTGTGTAGATAAGCGTTTATTCGATATTTAATTAACTTTCTGGGGTAGATAATTAACTATCGTGAACAAATAAATTACTCTTTAATAGATAATGAAATATATAATCATTTAATTAAGTACTCTCAAAGCCCTAAAAAAGCATTTATACGTATTATTAGTGAAAATTATTTATTCTATTAACACGTTGAGTGAGTGCAGCATTATTAAATTTATGTAGTAAGCTCCCCAGTTGTGCACATCACTTATAATATAGCATTTCTCTTAATAGGTATAGTGAGTAAATTACATTTAGATGATAAGTACATTAAATACATGATCTAGGTATAAAATGTTTTGATAAATAGCGCGCAAACAGACGCAACTTGACAATGTTGTGTCATAACTCGTAGGATAGAACAGATGCGAAAGACTGTTTTAATATGTTAGGTATAATTTATTATGGAGATAGGAGGAAGTTTTCGGTATAATTTTTTGTAGTCATTTGTCAGAGAGAGTTAGATGCTGAAGGTTCAATCTCGGATTTTGTTATTTTTTTTAATCGCAGCGTCGGGATATAACTCTGACGAAATTGATGTTTCGCTTTACTGGTTTTTCGTTTTTATTATTTCAATTGGATCCAGAAAATTTATTTGAGTTCTTTCGGAAGTTTATTCATGTTATTAAATTTTCAATATTTTTTCGAATCGAAGTGCACAAAGGGAAACATTCGCAAGTAAAAAAACTCATTACTTTTCCGGCGTTCACATCTGTTTTGTCAGCAATATTAAAATACAGTAACTAGAAAGCAATAAAACCACGATTAATACCCTCTTCGGGAATAAGTCTATAAATAACTGTAATAGCAAACGAAAACTTATTGACGGATTTTACGATTGTGAGATTTTATGCGAATACCTACAGTGGAAATGGCGAGAAACCGTCAAACTTAAGTACTCCAATTCAATATTATTTACCCACGATCTCCAACTAATATCATACCGGGCGATTAGAAATAATTGCCATATTTATTTAAAGGTTTGCAATAGTAATCTTAGCTATGTGTATAGAAACAATTAAAAAACGATTGAAAAAAAAATCATAAATTAACTATTTAATTCATTGTTATTTTTTGTTATTTCATACACAAATTTGAATTAGGTGAGGTATAAAACTGTATGGCCCTCATCAAATGGATAAAGTTTACATTTTCCCGAAAGCTAATGTTGGAAAAACAAACGAGTAAACAAAAATGTTGTGTTCGCAGTCTGTAAACATACAGACTGGGAAATACCATATTTGCGAAACGCTTAATTAAGCTGGCCTGCATTTAAAACACTCAAATCACAATAGAAACTCCCGCCGTTAACAAAACACGCTCAAGTTTTGGGAAGTAAACTAAGACGTGCTTTATTCCGTAAATATTTGGTTTGTTCGCTAGAAGAAGGCTCGATTCTGTCGCCCTTTGATTTAATCTGTAGATATTAAACAAAACATTATAAAAATCCCTGCTCCAACTTCGGCGTTATTAAAGTGAACGAAATTAATTTAATAAAAGTGGATATATGTAGAGAATACTTGTTGGTTATATAGGTACACCAAGCACGGAGGATGGTACACAACTAAATAAAAAACAAAATTCCTAAGCTATAAAATTTATTAAATTCCTTTACTTGCCCTTCACATTTTATGCAATTTATTTTTCTCTGACATTTTCAGATTTTTCAGGCCGAACTCTGAGCAATTTATTGCATCGTGCAAAAATAGAGAAAAAGGTATTCGCATATAACATAAATCGATTACAGTTAAAATTTACGTTCCCCTACATTTTGACTTTAAATGGATTTTTTATAAGATAAACACTCGAAATTGCAGAAATAAAGTTTGCATTTTTACGAGCTCTAACGGCTTAGGAATTCGATTTGACCTATTGCATTTTTAATTGTTCGATTAGATTTATCTACTTTAGTTGGGATCGTTCTCTTTAATCGAATAAAATTAAGTATACTTTAATATCTAATAGTCATTATCTAAAAGCAATTCTTTTTTAACGATTACTTAAAAATGTAGTTAATTTAAAAAAGGTTAATATTTCTGCCGATTTATTGAAGTTTTTGAAAAACCTTTAACAACTGTAATTGAACATAAAATAAGCATATCGAGCTCATAAGGTCCTTGATTCCGTTGGGAAGTTTAAAAGCAATACCTTGTCTCAATTAAGGTAACAAATTACGAAAACGGCCAGCTAGCAATTTTGGGATAAAAAATTTAACAGCGAAGAGAAAAGGAGCGTTCAGTTAGTATTAATGTTCCTAAAATGTCACGTCGGACTAAGATAAAAATACATTTCTCAAGTACTTAATTTATTTTCCGCAAAAGACTGGGGAATTCGTTAATATTATGTCAAATTTAAATGTCAGCTACTGAACAAGAATAAACGAAATATATATCACGGTAAAAGTGTCGGCGTTCGGAGTTAAGAAACTACGATAAAGAAAGATTAATTAAAATGTTACATTCGCTTTTCCTTACTATGTAGCCATTCATCATTTACAAAATACTCGGTGCTTTCAGAGACAAATAGTCAGTGCAATAATTTTTTATTAGTTTGCAAAATGTAATATTATTTGTAATATAATTATAACGGTAGTTAATAGACGATATCTTAAGTAGACTAATTTGTTCACTCGAAATTCCTAATCAATTAAACTAACCATTTAACATACATATACTGTATCCATTATGTAGCACGTTAATTACTAACCAACCAACTAATGCTAACATTCTTTTCTTTTTCAGAATTAACGGCCGTGGAGTGGATGTTGTGCGCGAAACTAAAAAAATAAAATGCCCTCCAGTAAATCATTAACGTCTGCGCTAATTCAAAAGAAAATAAGGAACCGTTTATACATCAAGATGTCTGTTCCCATAGTCGATAGATTGCTTGAAATGGCCTACAGCCGTTTTCGTTCGGTTTATACGTAAAACCCTTCTTGAGTATGTCTTCGGGTGCTTCTAGTTGATTCAATTCACAAACGAGCTCGACGGTAAAGCGGCGCAAATTTCTTCAAGCCTTCCATTTATCCGCGTATTTTTATATACTTAAATTCTGGCAGAAAATTCAATTAAAATCTTAAATGCGATTCCAAACGTCCCAAAGTAACGATATAAAAAATATGAAAATTTTAAAATTAAGTGTGCTTTCGTTTTTATTGTAATTTAGCGCCTTTATTAACTAAGTCATTCAGCCTCTAGTTTCCTAGAAAATATTTCAAATAAAATTACTGGAGGTATTTCATGTTTTTGATATTTTATCATGTAAACAAATAAGAGATAATTTGTATATTTCTACATACTCACTTTGGAATGTTTCAATAAGGAAGATCTTCTGGCATTGGTGACTTTTTCCTTTATTTTAAATTGAACTCGACTATGCTGACATTCGTGTAAAGGTACATACGGGTATAAAATTAGATTAAAATTTCGAAATTGTTTTGTAATATTCAACTGTTGCGCCGCTCTTTTCTCATGATCGTTCGTGAATTGCTTTACCTAGTCGAGCATCTATTTTATACATGTAACATAATCATCTTACTCGAGTTGTTTTGTGAAAAGTAAATTACATATCTGCACACACACACACACACACACACACACACACACACACAACTATCGAAGGCATTATTATTTCTAGAGATGATACGAATTTAATGCTATAATATCCATAATTTCTGCTAAACACTGAGGTTGACAGCGAAAGTTGGTGTAAAATTGTGAATTATTGTAATTATCTAATTTTCCACAATCTTCGAGGAATGTTTGCTTATTTTTCACAATACTTTAATTTCGTACAACAGTATTTTCTAATTTGATTATATTGTGTGTCGGGAATAAAATACTTTTGACGAAAATAAGTATATATTCAACAAATATTTTACGTTATTAAATATAATGAAACAGCAGGAATAACTGAGACATGAAGCGTTTTTAGTAAATCACTTCTTTTTCTTCCTTTCGCCAGGCTGATAGATTACATTAATAATCCCCTCTTTGTGGTGATAACAACTTATCTGATGAGTTAGTTGATAGAAAAAAGTTAACAGTTTCGGATTTTTATAACGAATTGCAGTTAGATAGTCTTACAGATAAAGCAGTTTATGTGAAAATGATCAAACAGATTTCGTCTCATTTTATATTCAATCTAAAATTTCACATAAAATATCATTTTATTAAAAAAGTATTAAATTTAACGACTCATTCACATTTACAAATTCCAGCAGGTGCTTTTAATTGGCAATTACCGTGCTCATATAAGTTTTAATGCTATAATTTCAATTAGTAAATACGGTTGTATGATTTCATCATTACAAACATTATATACACAGATGAATTATGAAATACCACAATGGTCCACATTCGCAATCCAATATGGCCGCATCGTATGGAGTGTACGATGCCAATTACCGCGACGGTATCTACCGGGACGCCAATTACCGCGAGCCCAGTTACCGGGACGCCGATTACCGGGACGTTACCTACCGGGATAATTACCGCGACGCGGATTACCGGCAACCCGATTACCGGGAGACTTACCGATACGAAGCTGATGAGACTTACGTGCCCACGTCGACTCTGCGCACGAGCAATTACCGAGGATTAGTGGTGAACGCGTCCGGCGACAGCACGGTGATCCGTTCGCCGGTTGCCCAACAACCGGCTCCAACCCGGCCCGCTGTCCAGGATCAGCAAAATTCCGGGTACGGTGGATGCTTCAACTCGCCCACGGCCAATCCTCCGGCTACCAGCGACCAAAACTCGTTCTTTCGCACCTGGTGCAGGCCGACCATTTTGCTACTCTTTTTGGTGCTGCTCGTCGTCATCTTCGTTTTGGTCTCGGGAATTTTGCTCTACCATAACTGTAGGTTCAACTTGTAGTTATAATGCTTTGCATGCTTTAGAGATGGCGTTCATTTTAACTGTATATAGCACGTAATTATTACAACCAACTTTTCTATTCTGCTCAAATTTACTTGCTAGCTTGAGGAGCGTATGTTAACAACTAATTCATCAAAATTTAGCTTAAATTTTGTATGTTGACTTTATCCAATGTTTGGCTTTCTCATCAAAAAAGGAAGAACCTTGCATTTTGATTTATATAGTTTGCAAACATTAATAAAATTCAAGTTGCCGTTTTCATTAGAACGGTTTAATTAAAATTCACTACCTACAAGGTATATTAGGCAATCGGGAATGTTTCAGGAAGTTCCGGAGCATTCCAATTCCAGAGTGAATTCTCCGAATATACGACGATCTGATTATTGTAGAGATATCAATTGAATTTGTCAAATATACTTTAAATGAGTAGTTTAATTAGTGAAACTTTTGCAAAAAACTCAATTTTAATTCGCTTTTGTTTTTCAGATCTTGTGCACAAACCAAGACAGACTGCTAGTGAAGGTAAGTTTCATTAAATAACGAGTACCAAAGAATTTTTAAATACAAGTTTGCGTTTATTTAAAAAAAGCGGAAAGAAAACAACTTCATCAACCACCCCGAATCGCCTGGTTAATTCCGAATTTTTTAAATAATCTACATTGGAAAAACACAATAGAATTTCTGCAAACCCTCAAAGCTCCATTTGAATTCAATTTGCAAAAGGGGGTAAAAAATCAAACGAATTTTTTACTGATTATTAAGTCTTCTCAAATTGAGACCAGTGAATTTCGATTTTGGAATTGTTACACGACGATGAACAGCAAATTACATTATCGTTCTACCTAAAAATATTCGATTCTTTTATTCGGTTGTTTTTTTCTCGTTTTCGAAATTTTACGTAAAGTAATTATCCCAAGACAATTAAAATTAGTGAGTATTGATTTTCGTTTGTACAGGAAAAAAAGGGTAAAAATCATGCCTAAATAATGCAGAAAAACAAGTAAATTGATTTTTTACCTTTCATTCAGCCCGTTCAAAACGGGCAATATAAATATTTAACGAGAAATTATACGATTCGGGAGTTTCGTTGAAAGCTCTTTTGGAACAGGCGAAATTTCCTAGTTTGGTAATTTATACGATGAAAAAATACCCTACACACGAAAATGTTGACCAAATGATCCAATTGAAAGTATAAAAAATGATCAGTTCATTCGAAATCATTTAATAAAATTTAGGAAGGAATTTACACGAACTAAAAGGTTAAAGTAACACGAAATACTACGAAACTCATTAGAGTCGAGACGAATGGAAGCCAGCGCGACCTGATTTATCACAAATATATGTTAAGAAACTTTAATTTTCTTGGCTAATTTAACACCGAATGTCAAAGACACGCGGTGTTACGTCTGGAGACTAACTTTGTGGATATATTTTATATGCGACACTCGATAAAACCAGAGTTGCACTTAAAACTTCCGCGCCGAAACTTTTCGAAATACGCTGTTAAATACCATGATTTCAGTAATTTAAATGAACCATAAAAATATACGGTTTCGAAATATTTATCTGCTTAGTTGGAGATGATGCCTGCTCTTTTTATTTGGGAAAGTGTAATAAATAAAAGTGCAAATTTATACAAAACATTCTTAATTAAAAATACTGCCTTGGCTCAAGGGGAAGTTATACAAACTTACTTTAGCTTTTTTTAGGATTACGCTCTTAATTTTAATGAATCTTGCTTATTAACTTCGACAATATTAAGACATATACAAAATAATAAAGAAGCTTTTGAATTAAATCAGTATTTTTCGATGTTTTCGTAGTCCTGTCCTGAAAAAACAGTATTATTTGTTTGTGTTTTCGGCTCAATATGTTCATCCGAATTCACACCGGAATGGCATGAAGACGTATTATGGCCATATCTCCAACATGTAGCACAAACATGCTCGAACTGAATCTTATTATGCCAAGCTGCTCATCTTAAAACTCGCTTCTGCATATTATTCTCCTAAGATAAAAGGACAATAATATTAATCAGGGGTAGGCTAATTATAACACCTTAGATCTAAGATGAAATCGTAAAGGAAGCGGGATGAAGTGTTAAAAAGCTGAATCTATTTAAAACTTTTAATCTCGAAATTAAGGAACTCAAATATTTATTCATAATTGCAGAATAGGAGAATGCAGGTTAATTATTTCTGCAGTTGGAAAGGGAGTAAATTGCTATCTTTGCTGCTTGGATTCTTTTACTTCGTTTTTGCTTAATTATAATAATTGTTTGGTGGAGCTTTTCTTGAAAATCAATTATCTGCCTATTTAATTTTTGTTAAACGGATTTAACATTGGACTTCTTTTCATAAATGTATAATACATACATAAACTGTGTTCTCAAAATGCGAACCCTTTGCACAAAATTATTTCCCTTTTCATACAAAACATCTATCTCTGTTGTACTTTTTATTTTTCTTTCGCAAAACATTTTTTTTCCTTTTTAATTTTCGCAAAATTTCATTCAAATCTCTTCAGGAGATTCAACGAACATAAATTATATAAAATATAACAGGCTTTATGTAAATTACGCAATTACATTTTTTGACTTGCTTTCGATCTCTTGAATTTCATCGGTACAATTTCTGATTATTGTAGGTACGTAAAAGTTTAATTAAAATTTGCATTCGAAAGAAAAACCAAATTATATCTTTCATTCCCCATGAGTTACAATAAATAACTTTTCGGAATTAACGCAGATTTGAAACAATACCTAAAATATTTAATAAATCCCACTTGCTCTGAATGAAATTAACAAAAAGCAGTATTAATTAGCGTTTGCTTTGATTTTTTTTTTCGCCTTGCACAAATTGAAATTATCTCGAACAACTCCATTCAAAGTAATACAAGAAACTTTTCTGATTATAGATGTACCGTCTCGTTTAAATGAGAACAAAAGTTCGCTTATGCATTAAGTTATGAAGCAAATGGGGACTAAAGTGAAACTTTACGATCTGACAGAAAGCGGGAATTTTAAACAAATAGCCGAAAAGTAGACAAGACAATAAGAGCATATGTTTCTTCCTAGTTTGTTTCGTAATTACTCGCCAAGTTTTGATTCCCCTTCGACGGGAACTATTTCGCAAACTCATTCAAGTTTAAACTGATGCAGTCGCGATTTAAATTCACCGAGTAGTTAGAAATCTCACGCAGAGTTTCGCCGGTAACCTTTTTTTATCACGCATTGTTCGTCTTAATAGTCCTGCTTTAAGACATAGATTACTATTCCCCTGTGTTCGCACTAATCTAGCTACGAATATCGGGGTATTTTAATTTGTTTCATCCATATATAAAAATAATGAATAAACAATAATTTCCAATTTAATGCGCCTTAATTAGCAGTAATTTTGAATTTTTTTATGAGACGCTCTGTGTATACTGTCCAAATAGGGATGCAGGCACGTTCCCGTTAAAGGTATACTGGTGATAAGAACGTTAGAGCCAACAAAAAAAACATTTTTTATGAAAATTAAATTAAAAAAGTTTTATCAAGGTTTCGAGCACTTTTTGTTTCATCTTAAAAATCCGCGCTAAATCGCCCGCGATAAACTTTTTCTCAAGATACACATCCGCGTTGAGTTGATCTCTAAAAAAAGAACGCTTATAGTTTTTTTAATAAATAGCCACTATATATTAAGGAATGTCGGTGTGTAGGGTGAATCATGGAAGAATAGAGGGTTCGTTGGAAAAGTGCTTATCAAGGGGTTGTTGACACCGAAGACAAAGGGCGGAATGGATGTTCTTTTTAGTTCCATCGACGACGACCTAGTACACTTAAAAAATAAATACTCGAAGGGCACTTTAAGCGAGACCAACGGATACAGAAAAATTCCAAATAGGTCAAAATTGAAAATTACTCTCGTGAAAATTTGAAATATATTCAAGTTCATGAAGAGGTAGTAATTTATCCCCGGCCTTGCAAGCCAGGATTTTTAAAAGTTTTTTTTTTATAAGTTCCATGAAGATTTTTATGCGAAGTTTAAAGTTAGGTAATGCGCAAGCAAATATTAATCAAAAAAACCTTTGAAAAGCATGTAATTATATAAATATTCCTTAATCGTTACAGAAATGCTAAAATTTGATAATTTTGGCACTTTTGAAATGTATAGAAAATCGATTTACTAACGATTGAATTATTCGGCCTACTACAAAAAAAAACTGATCGAATTATATCGACTTGTATTAAAATGACACGCAATTAATGACTGAAGATAAAGAGGCTCTTGGTCCGCATCATCCCCAAGTCGTTACTTATATCCAACTATCTGTAACAAATTCAATTATGTGGATCCTTTTTCCTATCCTTTGACTGCCGCCGTTCTTTTAATTTCGACGATGACTTTTTGTCGCCAAAAAAACGCGAAAACCGATGTCGTGGATCTGAGAAATAACGTCAAGGAATTTGAGTTACTAATTACATTAAGCGTTAAACAGGGCGCGTTTCCTAAGCTTCAACGTCTAATTTCACTAATATATTTTTTTCGAAGGAATGTTCCAGAGCAAAAAAAATCTTACCGCAAATCCCGTTTTATCCGAGAATATAATTTTTCACCATAATTCTCTAATCGACCGCTCTGCGATACGAATATTTTCATTGTAATTGCGGTTGAAACTGCCGGTTTTTATCTTATTGCACCGAGTTGAGATTAGCCAGAACGAAGTTGGTATTTTACGTTGCATTCTGAATAAAGTCCACACCAACTCCAATTAAGAACACAGACAGCTAAATGTCTTCCAGTCTGGCTCTATCCTCTCTAATTTGGCTCTATACTTTCTCATAAAAACCCAAATTGGAGGGATCGCATCGGTCAATTACTAATAAATTTAACGTTGGTTGTTACATACCATAAATCCTACAGATACCAATTTTGATCAAATCCCTTCGTAATTCTCGAATATTATGCGGAATTACAAACAGAAAATTTTAAGTAATTTTATGTTATGAAATTTACCCCTTTTTCTAATAAAAAAACTGATCTAAATCTTTCCCTAGGTAAAATAAATGCAACATGAAATAGTTTGTAAAAGTATTTTTTTTTATATCGATTTTATTTAGATCTAATTGTTAATACCGCTAATTATACAGGTTGTGGTGAATTTTCAATTACCAATTACGTTACAAACAGCAATTTTAGAATAGGAAATAATTTATTGCGAAAAATTGCGGGATGTAATTTCATTGTGAAACTCTGGAAGTAACTTTGAACTAAAAGCGAAGTTATCCATTCAGAATAGAAAGGTCATTCGACTCTTTTCGAATTTACAATTCCAATTCCGGTCGCTTTTCAATTTAGGGCCTTATTGAATTGATTATTCCGTTAGGATAACGTAGAAGTGCAGATTTACTGAAACAGTAGTATAAACTTTTGCCGAAGTGAATATGCTCCGCCGATTACCTACAAGTGCTAACTTGTTCATGAATAATTCTAACCTATAAATGTATAAAGGGCAATGTTTCATATGAATGCATTCGGCGGGTTAATCTCGTTTCGAGGAATATCGGAATATGCCCGCACGTTTTCTAAATAGCTTTCGAGCTAATCTAATTAGATATCCTGCACAAAGAACGAACTATAAAAAACTGCGGGTTCGGAATGTCCGAAAGATTTATTTTGATTACTCAAAAGAAAAGTAACGGCCCAACCGTATGACCGATAAACAAGTTCTTTCTGGAGTTTAATGAGGAAGGCTCGGGCCCTTGGGGAATCGTAAAAGCTGAAAAAGTGGCGCACTCCGACCCTGTTATGCGGGATTCCTCCAACCGCAAATTTTCCCTTTAATCTTTTATTTAAAAATTAAACACGTAAGTACCTGCCGGAAACGAGGTTACCAACAATCGTTAATACTTTCAAGTTAGCGTTTTTACAACTTTTTTAATTTATTTTTTTCCAATCCTCGGCGAACTAGACGTTTCAAAGCTTGATTTTATTCGATAAATTAAATAACAATTATTATTGCGATATCGACCGTTAATGGCCAACTTTCCGACGACTCGTTATTCGAACTTCGTTCATATTTCAAAATAGCTTTCATACAATTATGCACTTAAAAGTTGGGAGATTTTTTTTGTCGAGTCGAAACTTTTTGACTGATATAACTGACGATAAGTTTCGGAGTGATCAATTTTCAACAACTCCAGCCTTCTCGAAAGGCTAAAAAAAAGTTGGGAGGAGTGGTGGGCTCCTCGCAACTCACAGTGGCCTATTTTCAACTTTAATTAATTAAGTATCACTTATAGGCAAGATCTGCAGAAGATACCTAACGGTTTAAGCAAAATTAAACAAATCACAGGATCTCATAAAGTCACTTATTCAAAGACAAGATAAGTATGATAACTTGAGATCATGTAGGTAAGAATCTGCTCTATGAAGGCACTGTATAGAAGGAGCACATTCCAAGATTTACGGCAAAAATCAACTAACACACCTAAAAAATAAACAGCGATTTTATCTCCGAAGCATTTGACAGTTATTTTATGCATTGCGTTACTATAAGTCATCAGTTTTAATTGCAATGGTATCGAAATCGAATATAACTTTATATTATTGCGGTCCATCTAAACATCACACGAGACATTATCAGATCTCCTTGAAGTATTTTACAGGTTACAATTATGTGTAGGTACTCGCTAAAATGAGAGACATGTGAGTGTTGTGCGATAAATATGTTTTATTGGACGATAAAATTTAAATCCGTAATTTATACCTGATCTCTATCCGGAGACGGTGCCATTTGTGTTAGAATTGTAAAAGGGAATTTAAGTGAAATTTAAGAATCGAACTGTACGAGGATGTAGCAAAAGTTGCGGTAATAGATATAGAAGGAATTAAGATGGTAATATAAAAATTCGCGTTCGTAAAGTTAATCTCCTAGAAATTTAAATAAAAACGTTAAACGTCGGAACATTAAGTAATTCCGATTTTATTAGCAGAAGCACGAATGAATAAGAATTTTCCTCGTATTCCTTAACTTTCTGTTCCTTTGTTGCCGAAATAAATATTTGCATGAATAATTCTCTTTTTCATATTTTAAAGGAACGTATATAATCTCTTAAACAGTTTATATCTGAATGTATTTCCACAATTTCCCCAAGCAAAAAAACTCCAATTGGTTCAGTGCCGTTTTCCAATGGAAATTCTCTCTAACCAGATGTTAAATATGCTAATTCTTGAGCAAATATGTTAATTCCGATTTGTCTGGAAAATATGTTTTATTTTTAACTTTAACCTTAAAACAAGAATTGTGAAAATTGCACGAGCTCTTTTTACAACTGCCGCTGTAAATTTCAGATTACTGCTTCATTGTTCTACTTGCATTTAAAAAATGCAATTAAACGGTCCTCCTAATTCGGAATTAAAAATATTATGAGCTACTAATTAACTTCACGGTAGGTAAAATTCAAAATGTGTTGCCAGCATAAAACATATAAAATTCCTGCAATGGAGCATCATTCGCTTTTAGAAATTTTCTCACTATTTACATACCGAATAAAGCAAGATACAACTTGGTCCTCTCGTCAAATTAAATTACATTTACAAAAAAAATAACTTCCGTATTTAAGCTCGTTCATTCCCTCGCAGTTTCCCTCTAACCTCATTATCTCCTAAAAAAATATATTTGCGATTTTTCATCCACGTAGCGACTCTATTTATCACAATTTTAAGTGACAGCAGCTTTGTCCTACAGGAATATAAGATTTCACTTAATTTTTGTTCCTTGTTTCCGAAAGTTAAATAAATTGCGCCAATGAAGGAAGTTGTTTTATGCGGGATTAGTCGGAGGAGTCACTCAGATTTAATAAACTACGATTTTTTATTAGGAAATTACGAGTTGAATAATTGAAAAACTTCCTAGGAAGTCATGTCAACGGAAAGCCGAAAATTTGCCACATCACTTGCCGATGCGCTTACACTTTTTTATTATTTTCACCAGGAATTATAAATAGCTTTTCTGAAAAGCTATTTTTCATGCACACAATATCGTGAATCAATATTAATATCACGTATTCAAACATTTCACAATATGTTCCCTATAATCGGCCATTATATCGTTTTTTTACTCGAAAATAAAAACAAAACTGTATTTTAGGTACCACAAATAGCATGTTCAATAAAAGCAATAATTCTGTTTAAAGGGCAATTTGACAATTTAGTAACCATTTTAGCTTTGAAGTGGTACATTGAACGTTTTATTACCTACATGCATGATTAATTGTTCTCAAAATGCACATCCAATTTACGCATGTACTTCTACATTATCTAAATGGGAATGGTGTATTAACATAGAAGAATATTGCCTTCGGCAACTTACACCAAATATTCAAAAGAAAGGTGCATAAATACCTGTATGTACGCTATAATTTTACTGAAATCGTCTTATCATGACATATTATCGATCGAAAAATCGATGACTGAAAAATACACGCAGTTGAATGACCAGTTTCCTTTCCCTTCTAATTTTAAATACAATACCATGCCTTTATCTTAGTTAATAACTTTTGTATAATTACTATTATTTCGAAAGTAACATTTATGCTTTCCATTGATTGCACATACCTAATAGATATTTACTTTCTTCTAAATTACCTGGTGACTGAAACTACGTATTGTTTGTATTGTTAATGCTTTACATACTTAAGCTAAAGGTTAAAAGCCCTAAAGTGTAGTTAATGGATATATAAATGATCTAAATAATCAAAATTAAAGCTAAAAAGTGTCTACAATAATAGAACTAAAAAAAATTACCCTTTTATTTTGAAAAAGACTATAATAGACTTCATTTAAAATGAGAAATAAATCGATGAGGAGAACCGAAATAACATAATTTCAAATTGCAATTTTTGGCTAAAATGTTTTGAAGTTAAATATTAAATACATTGAAATTATACGTTTTTACAAATAAATAATTGATCAACAAATAAATTGACCCGAATATACTCAAATATGCTGTTTATTACTCGTTTATCGATGTGTTATTGAAAATAAATTAAAAATTAATAGTAATGTGATAATTAATTTTGTTTAATGTTGCAAATTAGTAATTATTTATTTTTGTTACAGGTGTCTTAGATTATCCTGGTGAGTACATTTTTTATTTGAATAATAAACGATCAGTTTCCATACTCATAAAACACCCAGGGTGATATTCGAAATTAAACTGATTTTACATAAAAAAAATTTTAAATTTCCATGATGTTATTAAAATGAGAAGCATACTGTTTTCCTAAACCAACGCAAAGTGTTCCGGAAGTTCTGTGTGTTTAGGATATTTGCATTTTAAACTTTTCGAACTTAATATCAAACCGCTTTTTAGGGGGAAAAATGCCGTCAAATCTAATTTCATCAGCAACAAAAACAGAACGTCATGAAAATTTTAATTATCCGCGTCGAATTTCAATTGGGATTTGTCGCCGGCAATAAATCACATTCGCAAATTAGACGCGTTAATTCAGGTAGATAATGAACGATTCGTTTCAGAACCGTGCGAAAAAACGTACTGCGCGTGGGGCGCTCAATGCATAAACAGTCCCGAAGGCAGGGGCCTGTGCCAATGTCCTACATTTTGCAAGCCGAAGGTGGAACCCGTCTGTGGTACCGACGGTAAGACGTACACTAATCACTGCGAGCTGCGTTTAGCTTCGTGCAAAGCCCGTCTTAATACCAGGGTTAAATATGCAGGCAGTTGCGGTAAGTACACTTCTAATTGTCTTCGCGAGCTTACTTGCGGCGAAGCACAGTAGCTCAATGTGCTCGCATAGTTTCACTGAATTTCACTAAACGATATTTTATGCGATTCGGAAAATATTGGGATGAGAAAAAATGCATGAAGTATCTGAACATTTTGAAAAGATAAATATTTTGATTCGTACTTCAACCACAAATTTGGATATTCGTAAATTACTCATGAGGTATTCAGATATAATATACGTTTTATATCAAGGTGCTCTCGAAATTTTCCGGGAACGTTATGAAATATTTCCTTGAAATTTTACTTCGGAACTCCGAGTGCAGTAACTGTCGTTTTATTGCTACACTATGAACTGCGAGTGGGTTTGTAATGCAGTTTCCATTACTGCTCATATTTCTCCAGTTGTTGGTTTCTGCGGAATGCCTGGAGTCTCTCACCTTTATTAAATCCTAAACATTTGTATAAATACATTCATCGAGTCGCGGTTGATAAACCGTGCGGTTCGTTCGTTTGATTGGCACCGTATCAAATCCCAACTAGACTGGTTAATTTTTATTAGAACATATTCCGTTCGATATGAGCTGTTGTTTCGGACAGGTAACATGCTATCAGTCCTTCAAATATGCATTAGTATTGGGAGTTTAAACAATCACGCAAGGCGTTCTCGTTTGATTTTTGTTCGGCTTGTTTTCCTGCCTTATATTTAATTAGAAATGATTCTTGGTAATACCGAGTGAATAATTAGATATTATTATTTTAATGATTTCATCGATAGCGTAGTAAGGAGCTTTTAATTATAAATGCACGCAAAAACGCTATAAGTAAGATTGATTGAATTTTTTATGTACCTTCAAACAAAGGTATTTATTTCTTTTGTGCAGTTTAATCACTATATCGAAAAGAACTTGTTAAAATTTTTAGAAGAGGCCTCTAGAAGCACTATCTTGTGATGGGAAATACCTACCAAACAAGAAAAAACACACTAATTGTTTTTTCTTTCTGTTTCGAAGTGACCACTCCTTTAGAGGTAAATAACACGAAAGGAAGTAAATTACATCGAAACTTTTAGACCACTTTTCCTTTACTTCCGCCAGCGGCGGAAATATTCAAAAGTAATTATTTAAAAGGCCTCCAAAAGGATATAGCAGTCCGCTTTCTGGAAATTGTTTTCATACGTATAGACATTTCGAAGCGTCTTCGTACGTAAAAATACATTTTAAGTTCTTTTTTTCTACATCCCGCATGCAATGTTCGTTGCTGGAAAACCTTTTTTCCGATAGGTTTCCTTTAAATAACGGCGCCGACACTAAGGATTTTTGGGATAAGAGTTTACTTGATATCCATAAATTTTCAACCGGAAAAAAGTATTTTTCCGAACCAGAATAAATCTCAAAAAGGAGTTGCGTTTATACAAGCAGAAGAATTAAATAAACGGAATAAAAATTTAGTTCTAAATAGGAGGTTTGTCTTTACTTTGTTGTTGAATTTTTATTTAATTGATGGTTTTTTAAGAATATTGTAACTCTTTTTACATTGGTTGGTTTATAGAATATTTTGGCAATTTTTAAAAAGTATATATTTTAGTTATTTTTGATATTTTTTGGTTAAACATTCTTTAATTGTATGTAAGGATAATAGGTAATATGTAAGTTTCAGTTATCGTGAAGCTTTTTACTGAACTTTTGGAAGTTTTACACAGTGTTTGTTATTTAAATAAATTCTAAAGCTTCAAAAAATTTAAAGCTTTCTCTCGTCATGTTACTAAACTTTTTGAGTATTATCTAATTATTGATAAAAATTAATGAAAAAATATTATGAAACAACCGAAAAATTACATATAATTGAACAAAACCCTTGAATGAAAAACTTCCAATAAATACTCCTGAATTTTTACCAAAATTGTTTTGAAAACTTTATATTGTTGGAAAAATCTATAAAATATCATCTAGTCTTCAAGAATTCTTTAAAATATCTCAAAAAGCCTTGTTACTTTTCCCTTTTACTGATCTCATAAAAAAATCGCCTCTTTCACTCCTTTTAAAGATATTGAATTCCAGTTGACATCAATCGATTTAATAGTTCCTGGGTCAAGTAATAAAGTTATGTTATTTTACATCAATATCGCTCAAATAATAATTGAATTAGATTTTCTACACCCGCAAAACAGCAATAAAAACCGTCCCATCCCAAAAACGAAACAAACCCAGGCGGTGATTTATCAGTAGAACTTAAGGAACAATTTGTATTACAGTGTAAACATCATATCTATAATAGACCGGTGGCAGACACCTTCTGCGACAAGTTAAAATCAATATGGCGCTTGCTCTCCTTTGCTATTACCCTCGTGCCTGTCACGCTAACTACCTGTAGTGTAACTCTCTAGTGTAACTTCGTGGTTCGTGTGCTGCGGGAGAAAATACTCTGTACACTCTCCTTCCCAGTGACGGAGTTGCGCTCTGGCCGCGTTCGCGCCGCACCGATAAAGATCGGTCGCGATCGGTGGAAAAAGGAGTTGCGAGTGTGTGCGGCAAAAACGTTTACCGATTCCTGGATTCGTGGATTCGCGTTTACTATTTCGCGTACGCAACTGGCCTTTTTTTGGTCTTCTGTTTTCGCCGCCGTTAAGGAAATATTTTAGACGAATGAGTTGTATTTCGGTTGAATATTCAAGTAGATATTAGAAACTAGCCGTTTGTCGTTGTTTCGCCGCGGAATTTATTTATTTGAGGGTCGAGTTGAGGGTAGGTGTCTGAAGAAATTTATCTCGCTACTGTGTGTCTATATGTAAATTTCGTTTGCGAATTTGTCATCATTGCAATGTCGTTAAAACACAATAAATAAGGGGATTTAGGTTTCAAAAAAATTGATTTCTAAAATAATAACTGATGTAAGGATCACAGTAATAAAAGGCTAAAAGGAATAGTTTTTTTATCTAATTAGCCAATGAATCATTTTGCTACAAATTTTTTATGAAATAACATGTTGCCAGTATAATGTTTGCCGATTTTTTATAACTCTGTATAAATAAACTCAAACATCTATAATCAATCTCTAATCATATTCCTCTACATAAATTATGTAAACAATGAACGGATAATACATGTTATGCACATACAAACGAACAAATTTAACTGGCATTGTTGTCCTTAATAACAATTACATAGAATTTATTTTACTAATTAATTACTTTGCAAAGTTTTTAAATAATGTAGTTACATGGTTCTTATATACTCAACGCTCACTTCAAACAACTGATTGGTCCTTAAATTGAAAAACTTTGTTGCTGGAGAATATTCCTTTGCATAACATACTTAATCTCTAAAATATATTTTTTGTTCCTTATATTCGATATTCCTCCAAGAATACAATACATAAATTTGAAATAATGGCATCTATATGTATGTTTTATTCATCGCTTCCAGCTTGTTAGTTATTTTTTATGAACCATTTTTAAAAAAGACAATTGTAATGGAACTTCTACGTTTTCAACTTCAGCAAACTTCAACTTGTTTTGTAGTTGATTGTATTAAAAACACTTTGTAGACTAAAGCAAGCCCTTTTCAGTTTTCACCTTGGCGAGTTTCATTACAGGAACTTCCGCATTAGCGCAGGCAGCGACGAATTTAACCAGCAGATTGTGTATCTAACACACGTTTGGGTTTTGAACCTCTGTATTCTCCCCCAGCGTACCTGCTTTAATTAACTGATATTTAATCAGTGTATTTTTTTGAAGGATGGAGTTTTTTTAAGTATTTTTTTGCGAAACAAGAACGAATGTCGCATTCACGCGACACGAAGGCCAACGAATATCCGAAATAAATGGAATATACGTTCATAAATAAATTCATCAAATTACCGAATTTCGAAAGCATTGCATGACATTGATCAATTTCCTCATGAATTAATTCAAAAATAGGTTTTCCGTAAAGCTTATTGTGTCCGCCTTCTACTAAACAATATAACTTCTCTCTTTTGTTGTTCCGCTTGTAAAATTTGAGTTTGCCAAAATTCCTAGATTTGATTTTTTTGGTTTTCGCGCTAAAAAAGATATACATAGCTACATTTCATATTTCTCGATGTCGATACAGCGTGAGAATTTTCGATACGAATCCAATGAAGCGCTATTTCTCTGTTCGAAAGAGTGTATCAGCATTTCAAATATCTCCTCGCAATATAAACGGAATCTCTTCAAAAATTCTAAATATTCCACATATATACGATGTAATATTCCGACTTTTTCGGGTCATTTTGTCTATAAGATTCCAATATTAAAGTTGTACTGGGCGATTGTACGAATTTCCTGCAATATAACTTCTTTTGGCAACTAACAAGAGCTTCGATGGTTATACAGAATGTTAATTTCATAAAACTCCATTAGTTACTCAATTATTAACGTTTCTTCGCTGCAAATTCAGTTCGGGTTTCCTATCTGGCAATAAAATTAAAATCGATATCAACCTCGAGAGCTTCCAAGCTTTTAGTTTCTGCTATGAAAACGCCTTGAAGAAAAAAAATCAACCTCACTCACTTAATAATAACGAAGTAATTGTGTTATAATTAGTACGGCAATAATAGTGCGCTTCCACTAAATGAAAAAATTATAATAAATCATGCATAAGTGTTCAAACATAAAATCGTTTTAAAATCATCTGTAGACAAGAAAATGATGACTTTTACGCCGCTACACCTAGTTCCTTAAGTTTGAAAAGTTATAAATTTCTTCAGACAAAGACTAACTTTTTTCTAAATTAAATTGGCTATAAATTTCGTGGAACCTAATAGTCGTAAATCCAGTAGTTAGCCCTAGCCTGAAAGTCAAGAAAATGTGTTACCTTTAGATTCTGTCTTCTGCTTAAAACAACCCGCTGCACTGGTCGGAATTTAAGCCACAAATCGGTTATAAAACTGCGATTTATATTCCGCGTTTCTTTCGTTTCTTTATAAATTGTTTGAACAATTAAACCTTTACAACGAAAACAAAGGACAAAGAATTATGGAAAAACTTACAGCTTTACGATATTTAATTTTCATCGCGTTGTCGAATGGGCTTGTCCTGCATTCGACTGAAGCTTGCTACGCTTTCCCTAAAGGTAAGTTATTATGGGTTTCGGTAGATTATTGTGAATGTATATGAAATGCACGTAGGTAAAGTAATGATTAATTTGAATCGCATAGTCATTAAGCAAATTCAACTATTGGTTTGAATAATTGACGGTGTCCAATCGACGAACAGTTGTGCATTTAATGTCAGTCTTGCTGCAGTTTCCCAAGGGTGAGTTAAAATGTTCATTATTAGTTCATTATGTCGGATCGTATTGCATCAAAATGCAATAGTCACCAATAAAGGGTTCGATCCTCTCCCATCATTAACTTAGTAATAATCTCTATTCCGTATTATTTTGTCAGATTTCGAGGGCATATCGCATATAGTCCGCTTTGATGCTAATTGGTCGGCTTTCATGCAGCAACGAGTTCGGGTTAATGTCTATAGACAGACATATGCCACGAGCTATTCATTGTTGCGTTAGTAGATTTTTCTTATTAGAGGTTTTGTAGTTTCTGGCACTCCCTTAAACGTTATGCAATGTTGTTCTTCTCTTACTTGATCTATCTGTTTAGTTTCGGTCCTTCTAATTGGTACCTATCTCGTTTCCTGTCCGGCGTGCCGTTCCCAAATTATATTTTACAGTTTATAGAGTTTCGAAATGCACCGTGCGACACTGGCGAAATTTATGACGGAGGATATATATTCGACAGACATTGAAAACGGTCAGTATAGGAAACTCCTGTCAGACCCTGAATTGTGTATATTACGCTATTAACTCCCGTATGCCATATTGTTCCAATCATAAGAAGATCTAATCTATTAATTCAAGCAAGCACGGCGTTTTTAGTTTCGATAATTTCATGAAGAAATTGCCGCTTCGAAGCGACGCAAATCGAATTTAGGCCGTGGTCTAAAATACGAAAAACCAGATGAACCTCGGAAGATTTTCCCTCGACGAAAACTTAATTTTGCGGTAATGTATCATAAAAGGTGTCACACCGACCGTTGAAATTGAGTTAATTCTCGTTAATACCTTTAAGGGGCAAATACTCTAAAAGCTCACTTAATAAGGAGACGAGAGAATGCCATTGCGTACTTACCACACGTCGGTTTCCACTCGAAAGGAGTTTTTCAGCTTCAAATTTATTAATGCTTTGTTCACAGGAGCTTAGTAAGAATCATTAGTTACTTATTTCTAGGGTAGATTTTTTTATAAAATATTATTTTTTTAAGAAAATTCATGGTCTGTGGAAACGAATGAAAATTCATTGTTGTATCAAGACATTCTTAGTCTTTTAAAAATATAACATTTGTTCGTTTTTGAAGCATGATTTTCTTCTTAAATTATCTAAATAACTATCGGATAAGTGTTTGAAATCTGCTTATGTAGGTAAACATGTTCTACAAAGTAACGGGGATTAGTAGATTAAATATGCTAAATTGCAGGGTTAAATGCGATGTTTACGGACGACAATTTTGAATTTTCTATGCAATGAAAACGTTTGTTTAATAGATAAAAAAATGAATACACATCGTTGTTTCCACAATTGATCCGACGCTAATCCGAATTCATGTTTAATCCAACATAAATAATGCTTTATACCAATAAAACCCTTCCAGTCTCTTCCGTTGACTATTCATCATCGATTAGCATTAAACGAATGAAAAATGTCTCACATCAGTCCGCACTAGCAGGACTGAATTCATCTTTTTTTTAAATAAATCATTTTGGGGAATAAAGTTTTCTATATTGTAAGAAAAAAGTGATTCTTTCGAACTGTCGACTTGTTGATTTAGTTTAATATATTCTTCTTTACGCTTTCTCTTGATAATTTTTCTTCCTTAGGTATGTTTTAAGCCTTATTAATGTTTCTATTATTATACAGGGTGGTCTCATTTTGAAATATTTTGTGTATCAAGGGTATGTGTTTGTAAATTTAAATTCATAAATTGCTAGAGTTTCATACGAAAATCGAAATGTAGTAACACCCAGTATTTGTGTGAGTCGTAATTTTAATGGAAATGCATCGAATCGGTCTCCTGGGTCCACTCCTGCTTACGTTTTGAACACAATATTTATTTCAAGTCGGAAAAAAACACCGACGCGTCTCTAAATTGAAATGTATGAGGCACTATATTCGAGTTTAAGCAATAAAAAAAATGTATTAAAGTACGTACCTGCGGAAACATCACCTATAACAACGCGATAAATATCATTTTACATTTGCGTTATCGATGAGGTAATTTATGCGTCCTGACAGGATTGTTTCGAAAAGATATTCGTTACAATGCCGAGTAGATATAAAATTACACACCGTTTAATAAAAACATCCATTCGATGTTGAATGGTTAAACCGTTCTTTCATATGCTTTGTTTTATTGCAGAACAAAACGACCCGTGTAGAGACAAAGAATGCAACTTTGGCTCGCGATGCGTTGTAAATTCCGACGGACGAAACGCCACTTGTGTTTGCCCGGACAAATGTCCAAATTATGGTGATCATACTACATCTAGAGCTGTTTGCGGTTCAGATGGCGAGAACTACGGAAATCAATGCGAACTTCAACGGGCCGCCTGCAACTCGCAAACCAACATCACCATTAAATTTTACGGAAAATGCGGTAAGTCGATACGTTCGCAGAACACATACATATCTGAAAAATCTTGCAATAAAAATTTTTAATTGAATTATAAAATACGTCGGGCATTTATTAAATTACACGAGCCGGACATTCATGCAGCATCTATATGAATTTTAATGGATGTTCTAGTAACTGCATTAAAAAATTCCCGGTGAATTTATGAATCGCGAGCGATATAGTAGCGATGCAAAAAGTTTGCAATATTAATTGAAACCTGGTTAAATATTGAGTATAATCCATTTAAGTACTCGGTTTTCTGTTATAGATAGGTAGGTACGTAATTTTTTTTTGCTACCGATATCGAAGCTTGTTATGAAAATATCGATACTGCAATGAGGTAATAATGTTGCATTATATCGTTAAAACTTGTTCTTTATTTTTGAGATGTTCTGATGGTGCAGCCTTAATGCATAAAATATCATTGGTCCTCTCTCTAAGGAAGCGATCTAGTAAACATGATACCTACTCAGTTAACTATAAAAGGATTTTCCCTATATAACGTCAATTTAATCCTACTCACGGAGTGAAATGTGCGAAAAATTTTCATTAACAAAGTGGATCAGTACACAAAAGCTTAGTTTCGTTACAAAATTTATCGAAAATAAATTGGTTAATTAAATTATACAAGAAGCCTGTATATTCACACCTTAATATTAAATCGTATAAATAGAAAAATTTAATATAAGTAAGTGTTTTATTATTATCTTAATTTTAGACCCTTGCGCTGGTGTTCAATGCACCGAGCCCGAAGTGTGCCAGTTGGATGAGCATCGCAATCCCGTGTGTCGATGTGGAGAGCCTTGCCCTTTGGAATTTACCCCGGTGTGCGGGTCAGACGGAAAAACGTATTCCAATGGGTGCAGTTTACGCCAGGAAGCATGTCGCTCGAGGAAATCGTTGAATATTATTTACAGAGGGAAGTGCAGCTCAGGTAAACAAAACTTTCTAGTCACTCGGAATGCTAACTACGTATTTTTTTCAACTCTCTACCGCTCAGAGTAAATTGTTCAATAATTACTTTAAAGCCGATTAAATTTAAAGTTGCACCGTGTCATTTCGAGACTTAAAGGTCGTAAGTGTGCTCTAAGGTAAAGTTTGTTGTTAATTAGTTTTCTCAGATACACAAGCGATTTAAGCTTATTTGCTTACGGTTTGCCCAAGACGGTAAGGATCCTTTATGCAACAAAATTTTAACAGTTTCGTACTCCATAATATTAGAAAAGTTCCTTCAAGATCTAATTGTGCAAACTCACTCAGGTAGCGCTAAATGCATTATTTAGCCGGAAAGTGACGCTATTATTCTCTCTATATCAAAGAACTCGATACCACGAAACCACTACCAACAGAATATTATACAATATGTTCGATTTTAAGCGCTTGCATTTTGAGAAAGAGATGAATTTTTATACTACAAAATGACTATTAGCAAAAGTTCACCTCAAGATGTTTTTCTCGATGCATCGTCGTAAGAAAAAACCCTTTACATTTCTCCTCCTAATTGAACTCGAGCTGTGCGTGTCGCGTTCAAAAAGAAATCCCACCGTTTCCCATTTTCAGGAATAAATCCGTGCACCAGCGTCCGTTGTACCCGAGGAGAAGAATGCGTCATTAACAAATTCGGGATAGCCCATTGCCAGTGTCCGGAAAGTTGCGAGCCAATTATGAGGCCGGTGTGCTCCAAAGACGGCAGGACTTTCGCATCCGAGTGCGAATTAAAAAGGACTGGCTGCGTTTCCAAGACCAACATCGAAATAGCCTATTCAGGTATGATTACCGGCTGTTTATTATTTTTTTTGTATCAATCCAATTTAATTTACCTACTCTATACTATAAATTTTGACACATTCTCTTCGCTTTAATATAAGCGTAAAAGCAACCCAAAAATTTATATTATTATTGTATTATAGTAGTAATAGGTAGGCTTGTTAATACCTCGAGTGAATAGCAACCCCATATTACTTCGTTAATCACTAGGTTAATGGCGGTAACCCAATCGATTGGTCAATGATTGAAATTTCAATGCGAAACCGTACACATTTATAGTTCGCGTATCTTCTTCAGGGATATGCGGCGAGAATGGTCCTTGCAGCGAACACGATTGTCAATTTGGAGGTACTTGTGTGGAAAGGGCCGGAACGGCGCATTGTGAATGCCCAGATTGCCCCGCAGAATTCGAACCGATTTGCGGTTCCGATGGAATTTCCTACAGCAATGAATGCAAGCTCAGATTAGAGGCCTGCAAGCATCGGCGTAATATCAGCGTGCTCTACGAAGGCCCCTGCAGTAAGTTGTATTTGCAAAAAATGGCAACCGGAGCCTCTGTAATTTGCCTGTTTGTTTTCCAGACGGATGCGAGAATAAAAAGTGCGATTTTTATTCGGAGTGCGAAAGCGACGGCACGTCTGAAGGCCGCTGTGTTTGCCCGCAATCTTGCGCCGATTCCAAGGTAAATTTTTCTCTTTTATTTTCTAAACAAAAAATATTCCTACGAATTATTGGGACCAACTACAAAAGTATAATATTTATTTGCTTTACAGTAAAATATTTTTCTAAATTTTTTTATACTAGCTGTATATTAATAAATAATAAAAAGTAGGCACTATTGAATTAATAATTTCGTAAATAACTAACAATTTTCAATGAAAGTGATTTTTAATTTTATTGTAATTATTTTTTATATTTTTATTATATCCTTTTAGTGCCTAAAAGTATACTAGGTCACCTTTTCTGGGATTAGAAGAGAGTCGCCTATTGTAATATACCCATTATACAAAATGGCACTACTAAAGTACTTTTACTTAATGGTAAAAGTTTTGAAATTATTTATCCCTTGAGCCACTCGTGTTGTCTTTTCCATACAAAATTAGATTTTATTAAAATTTCCTGATAGCGAACGAAATATAGTTCATATTAATTATTTTCTTCTTTCTATACAAACGTATAAGGATTCGTATGAGAGCAATCTGTATAAAAGGCAATATTAAATTAAATTTCTTGGGTATAGATTAAGATCAATATCAGTGTCATTAAAATTCGCCGAAGGTTGAGCGCGACTTATGCTAGTAATAGGTAATAGGACCAGAAATTGAATAGTTTACAATTAGTTTACGTTTACCCGTTCACGGTACATAATTTGAATTAGATAGGGATTAGTAAATTACAATTAAGCCCCTATATTGGTACATTCGACAAAAGCGTATAATTAAAATTACAACAACAAATTTATTGATGATTTATTCGCAAACGTACGTTACGTATAAATTAGTCATTATTGATAGGTTCGCAGAGTATTTACGAAATTTAAATTGCATTAATTGAGCGCCGGAAAATTTAAACGTTTCGAACAAAACCCGGCCGACAAAACCGTGGAATTTCTGTCACGAAGTGCACACGGAGACCTGGGAAGTTGCCCGCATCGGAAAACCGCAGAATTGAATATTCCACAACCGGTAAAAGAGAATTGATCCACCTGTGTGCCATCAGACTCTGGCTCAGGCACAAAATACCGAATCTCTCCCGTTTCGGACTCATCAATTCTCATCATTAGAACAGACAGCAACTGAAATCGAAACTTTCAAGTCGTGACACAATCCCTAGGAAATGGATCAGCGAAGTATAGGAGATGCTCTAGTTTCCAATAAAGCTCCCCTGTTCCCATACGGATTTATTTCCCTATTAAATGCTCGAATAACTATTAAGATAAATAAGAAATGTAAGTTAAGTCGACTGAGACGTGTAACTCAAAGCAATGAATAAGGATATTTAGAGCTTTGGTGGATATAAATTCTAGCCAAAAAGAAAAATACTACTTTAAATAATAATTTATGTATAAGGATGTAAGACAAGAATAAAAAATGACCAAATAATGACCTCAATTAATATCAATTAAAACTGTATCTATTTATGTTAATGATACTGAAGAAGTGTTCGAAACCCAACTGAGCAATGGAATTAAAAGCGAACACTAAAAGTCAATAATATGTTCCGAAGCCTCCAATCCATCAAGATTTCTTTGCAGTTCCTATTAACTTTGCTATAACGACGTTAACTTGCCAACAAAAACTAATTTTACCCCCGACTGGGGCGCGGCGTGCCAGCAAAAAATTCTTATTGCCTTTTATTTCCGTTGAAAGGAACGTACAACTCACGAGCGCTTTATAACATCGCATAAAAATGCTGGTTTTTATATTCCGAATAAGAAAGCTACAAAACATTACAAAAGAAGCAATTTTTAACCATGCATTGCCCACGAAATGTACTACAAGGAAAAAAGAAGCGGGCGTTTCATTAAAACTTGTCGGCTAATTGTAGCTGGAAAATTAGTTTAGCTGGAAAAGCATTATGATATTATCGCAGCAGATTTATAATTAATGCGCAATTAGAAATTAACGCTTCGGCGTTTGATGCACCTGAAAGAAAAACAAATAAATATCGCCGCTAATTGAAAATACGCTCGCTGCGTAAACTGATATGGCTAGTAATTGAAATTTTAAATGAACAAATTAATGGCCTCTGTACAGATAATTTGATAATTTCGATTGTGGTGTCATGTTGTTTTTGTGACACTGCCATAAGCGCGGATCAAAAGCGTTGGGCACACGAGTAGAAATCAATCGAACTCGATACACGGCCGTTTAAAAAATTTACCCGACTGCGCTTTTTTCGATCGACACTTTTATCTGCACATATAAAATGGCTCAAATTCCGTCAATTATTATCAATTCGAAAAACCTATCGGGACAAATGGATTAGCGAACAGAAAATAGATTCAGCAAATATTTCGTTTTTAATTAATACTGACAACAAATGCATTTTATAAAACGTTTTTAATTAATTGGTTAAAACGAAAATCCAATATTGTTCAGTAACAGCTGATACAGTCGCTGGAATAGTATTGCTAACTGAAGTTGAATTTCCCGTTAAAAGAAAAAATTCGGATTTTTTTTTCATTTTTTTTTTAAATTGTACTGCACTCTTGCAGCTTAACAACGGTACCATTTGCGGTACCGACGGCATATCGTACACCAGCGAATGCGAACTCCGAATGGCCTCCTGCAAGACGAAGCAATACGTTATAGTAGCGTACAAGGGGAACTGCGGTAAGTCAATCAGCATGCATTAAAATCAACGCGAGCAAAAAAATCTGGCCGTTCCAGACTTGTGTCAAAATGTAAATTGCAAATACGGCGGAAAATGCGAAGCAGGCGAATGCGTTTGCCCTACCAATTGCGACGAAGCTGGCGAGGAACCGGTTTGTGCATCGGACATGACGACCTACCGCAACGAATGCGAGCTCCAAAAAGCCAGGTGCGCCCGCGGGACCAACGCTGCACCTCTTACTGTCATTTTCTACGGGGACTGCAGGGAGAAGTTCCCTTCGGCCGCCGGCTCGTTAAGCAGTAAGTTTGTTTGTATTTGTTTGATGGGCTATGTATTTGTTAAAAATGGGAGTAGTTTCGGGTCGTTGGACTTGGTTGGATTTTAATTGTTAAATTTATTATCATCTGGGAACTTCTCTGGTTCTCTAAACTGAATGGTTTACTATAGAATCGCGAAACTTATATATTTACAGGAAAACTTCATTGTCCAATTTCCTAATCTTTAAATCTTCAGCTATTTAAATTCTTAATGATGCTTATCCAGTTACTAATCCAAAACTCTTAAACTTATTCTGTAAACTCCATTGTTTTATACCGAAAACTATACAATTTCAAACTTTACCCAATGTTTAAAGAGAAAATTTTCATCCAAACTACTCTTCAACATTTCCACTATACTTTAATTTTTCGTTATTTACCTCATAGCCACTAATTTTTTGCACGATTTTTAATCTAAAAGTATAACACAAATATGCTACTTGAGCCAGAATATTCCCGTTTTTACGGAAAATCACAATTAAAAAAACCCCAACACTAACAAATCTTGAATAAACACGTCGTTGTTCGTATTAATTACTTCCAACACTCGGAATTAATCTCATATGCCAGAGCGTCGTTGAAACTGACAGGTATAAACAATTAAACGTGTTAAGGGAAATAAATTGAGGCGCGAACACAAATCCCTATAGGGTTATTTCTCTCACTTCTGTTAAAAGAAAAATCGTTTTAGTTCCCGTTTTCGAAACCGACCACGTAAACTCCCGCGTATCTCTCGGAACCTGGGAAAAACTCCGACAAAACACCGCTTTTCACGTGATCGATAATATTCCCGTAGGTGTACAACAAAGAAAATTCAGCATCGTCATGGCTAGTTTGTAGAAACCTGCTACGTTCCCGATAATTTTAGAAGAAATTGGCCGTTAATGTCAAGAATTGCATTGCTAGCACTACATATACAATACAACCAACCTCGAAATAAAAATTTCTTATCATTAGTAGCGCTTTAAAATTTAATTTTAATCCAACCAATCGTTTTGATGATGTAGTTACTTCAACCCTTTATTGCTACTAACCTTTCTAGCGACATTCCCTAACATATCGGCGCAGGCTAACCCAATAACAGGTAACGACATCGAGGGCTCAGTACCTGACAATTCGCTTGTTGATGGTACCAATACGGAAAAGGAAGCGTGCAAGGATATTTTGTGCGATTTCGAGGCGACCTGCGAACTGGGGCCCGATAATTTCCCGCGTTGTACGTGCCAGTTCAATTGCTCGACGGCGCGCGAGAGCTTGGTGTGCGCCTCCGACTTGAGGATTTATCGTTCTTTGTGCGCCATGAAAATGGAGGCTTGCCAAAGACAGGAGGAGCTGAGATTGAGGCCGTTGGATCTATGTCAAGGTTTGGGTTCGGAATGTTTCGATGCCAGTAGAGAGTACAGCGCACACTAACAACACACACACTTTATACAGATATTTTTTAGGTACAAAAAAAATATTTCGCTTCTTTATACGCTTGGAGTTGAGCAGGTGCGTTTCGAAATTCGCCTACTCAACTTTATGCTGGACGCTGATGTAATGCGTCGCTCAATGTCTTTCTTAACAGCTTATTGTAGAGTAGTATTAGTTTGAATTTTGCTTACAAATTAATAATGACCGAACCTACCGATATTATTTGGAAAACTAAAAACTTGCGACAATGGAAACCCCTAACTCGCTGTCCGCGTTTAAAGCAGCATTGTTCGCAACATTCATACAATCAGAAACATCATTGTGTTGTGGACGGTACAGTATGCATATGTACACCATAATGCCAATGTTTGTCTGGCAAAAGAAAACCCGATGTAGAAGCGTTCACCAAAATTCTACATTTCACTAATTAATACCTTCACACAGGGTGTTAATGAACGTTTACAGTCTTTAATAATTTACGAGATGCATGTTTCTCTCGGCAAAATAAATTGTTCCGCAGATTGCATATTAATGAAACTAAATTTTCGCAAAAATTCGATTTCGATGGGTTTCGATGTTAGCTTGAGCATGGCAATAGGTTCCTAATGCGATCGCGTATGGATTTTACAGTGATAAATTTTTTGAAATAGGAATGGAGGTTAAGCCTTGCAAAGGTGAGAAACCGCTAACGGATCCTCTGACAGAGCGGGAATTAGACTGCGGAAACGGCCCGTTCAGACAAGACTGTCCTGCTGGCAGTTACTGCCATCAGACCGCCAAATTCGCTAAATGTTGCAATAAAAGTAAGTTGTACGTCGGCGAGAGCGGCTCGACAAATTATTCGTAAATTCCGAATTCGTTACAAACCACCTCAGAAATTCCGTTCGTTAAGCTTTTAATTAAAAGTTTTCAAAAAATCAAGTTAATTTTTATCCAAAAATTAAAAAAGTTCCGAACGCGTATATTATTTCATCGTCATCTGGCGAAACAGAAATAATTCCGGGGCAAAGTTGGCCGACTTTTTTTTATTCTCTGTATTCCGGTTATCGGGTTTACCGAATATGCTTCCATATGTCCACTAAAACTTTTTAATCCACTAAATAAATTTACTAAATATTACAATGTACAATATAACAATGTACATTCAATGTGTAAGTAACTCTTCTTGTCATCCGATAATCGCAAATCATTGGCAACTTCCTGAAACAAACTTATAACATTCGCAGTTGAACAAATCGTCGACAAAAAAGGCTGTGAAGAGAGTTGGTACGGCTGTTGTCCAGACGGGAAAACTCCTGCTCAAGGTCCTAACTTCGGTGGATGCCCTTCTACTTGCGAATGCAACAAACTAGGATCCTACTCAGACATTTGCGATGCTCAGACACAACAATGCCAATGTCGACCCGGCGTCGGTGGTACCAAATGTGATAGATGCGAACCCGGCTTCTGGGGGCTTCCGAAAATCTCCACTGGTTACCACGGTTGTATACGTAAGTAATCTTTTCCAGAATCAATCGGAATAATGGCGATTATCCAGTAGTGAATATCCGATTTCATTCGCCAATTATCGAAAACCGGCGGCGCTCATTCGACCGTGCAGATAAAAATGTAAACTATGAAACAATAGGCTAATTACGGCTCAGCTCGGTCGTAATAAATCTAGCGCTATGTAACGTGTACACGACAATAAATTTAGAGCTGGCAAAATTACAGCCCGCACAACACGTCTTTGTGAAAAGCCCTTTCTCCACGAATATTGCAGTTCATTCACCTGGCACGCCGCGAAACGAAATTCATTTCGAACTAAGACATCGACAATGAAGGAGAAATCACCGGCATTTTCTCATTTTCGCACGATACCGAATGGTTCGTTATTTTTATTTTGAAGCCGTATGGCGGGAACAACGGTAAAAAAATTTCGCGCTTGCTGAACGACCACTATTGAAAACGACCCGGAGGCGTCTTATTTTTCTTTACAAAAAAAACAGGCGACGTTTCAGTATCTTGCTCTTTTGATGCTCTATTTAAAAAAAAACGTTTTTATGCTAGTATTAAAAATTATTTTCTTTTCAGCTTGCGCTTGCTCGAACTTCGGTTCGGTGAGGGATGACTGCGAACAAATGACGGGGCGGTGTGTTTGCAAACCGGGAGTACAGGGTCAAAAATGCACCATATGCACGAACCACAATAAATACTTAGGGCCTAACGGTTGCGTTACAGGTACTTTAAATCATCATATTAGCATTCCCAAATGTCCCAACAAAATTCTATTTGTAGCTACCGAATTAGCTATGTCTGCAAATCCATCAAGTTGTTCGGAAAGGACCTGCCACTTCGGTGCCACGTGCATAGAAAAAACCGGCTCAACCCATTGCCAGTGCCACATAAATTGTACCAACGAAAAAGAACCTCCTCAAGTAAGTTGCTTTCTTGCAAAGTACAAGCAATTTTACCAAGTAATTAATAAGGCGTTTTCAAAAGAAGGAACTTTTCATGGATGTTAGAACGCTTCAGGATGTACTAGAACTGCCCAGAATATATTTGAAAACTCATCCAGAAAGGACATGATAATGATTTTTAGTTTCAATTTAAGATATATAAGATAACAATATTTGTTTTTCAGATGGTCTGTGGAAGTGACGGAGTAACTTACAGATCAGCTTGCAACTTGCGTGCACAGGCTTGTAAAGCACAGAAAGACGTGGTATTGCAAGCTTTCGGCTCGTGCAAAGGTAAGAAATAATTCTTCTCAATTATAATAATAAGAATTTTTTTAAAGTCGTTTCGTAATTGATAAGTAACATCAAATATTTTTTATCGCAAATATACTATCAGAGCCAATACCGAGTAAATTTTACTTGCGGTAAGTTCATTTACGCGAAAATTATATCGCTACATATTGCTAGTGTAGCAAAGGTGAATTGCCCGAAAATTAACTCAAACATTATTATTTTTCATACATTATTGAGTTTATTAAACTATTAGTTTTCGAGCAATTTAGCAGATGCCAGTAAGTACCGCTGTTATACTCCAGCTACTATATTCGCAAGGTATCATAAAACTATCTAAAAACGCTTTGTAAGATCGTCCCAGAAATCCATTTCTGACAGTACTTATTTATTAACGAAACTAACGCATTTTCCGCATTTTTCAGACGATATACAAAGCACGGATTGGCCGTATAGCAATGTTAACAATCCCCAGCAATTCACGCAACCCGACGAAATCAGTTCGCCGCTGTCGAAATCCACGCGGCATTTATTAGTGCCGGACCCGCGGTACTATTACGAACGGAGCAGCAACCCTAGGCCGGTTTCCTTTCCGGACGATCCCGATTTTGCGAAAAAGGAATCGGGCTCTAATATCCTATACCGCAACCGTGGTGAGACAGATACATATCTGATTTAAATAACGTTCTTTATAATTATTTCTCTTAGTTTATCAGCTCACAAACGGTCGATTTTGAGTTGTAATCAGTACATTGAGTAGTGCATTATTGAATTCGTTCTAATAACACGATTTTAATTGATTATCGTACCGAATTTAACTCCAATAACATAATTAATTCAATCAAATTTTTACTAAAATTAAGTAGATTATTCGCCATATTTTTTTGATAACATTTATTTAGGTGGTGATTTTGCACCCGCTTATCGTCCTACACCAGCCACAGTTCGTGTAACAGCTTTATTAGGTGATTTATGTTCGGATAATACCGATTGCATTATATTAAATAGCCACTGTGTAAAAGGAGCTTGTCTCTGTCTGCCTAATTATGTAGAGTCGTCAGAGCGACAAGATTGCATACGTGAGTTCAAATTTAATATCACAAAACCATCAAAAATTATTCCGATTTGTTCATTAATTCAGTCAGTTTTGTCAAAATTTTAGCGCATAAAAACATTATGGAATAATTTTTGATTGTATGACACAAAAAAATCAATTCGACGACGACCAGGATGCAATTAACTGCCCCATTATTGCAGCTGATACAGCGGATCCGGACGAGTTCCCGGCCTGCAGCAGCGCCCCGTGCATCCACGACAGTACTTGCATCGATCTGCCGGCGTCCACGTACGCCTGTGTGTGCTCTGCCAATTACACCGGTCCACATTGCGAGACGGAAATCGCCCAAGTGCAGTACAGAACGCCGGCGTTCCACGGCAGATCCTACGCGAGGCTGCGGCCTCTTAAAGCTTACCACAAGCTCAGCTTGGAGGTCGAGTTTAAAGCTCGCTCGAGCGACGGCGTGATTCTGTACAATCAACAGAAAGCCGACGGTTTGGGCGATTTCGTTTCGTTGGCGATCATTAACGGGTTCATTGAATTCCGGTACAATTTGGGTAATGGGATGGTGCTGATACGTTCGGTGGATAAGATAAAATTAGGGTACGACCATCGAGTCGTGATTAAACGGTACCATAGAGATGGTGTATTGAAATTGGATGATTCCGAGGAAATTGGCGGAGAATCCAGTGGGAATTTGAAAGCTTTAGATTTATTAGAAGACGCGTTTGTAGGATTTGTACCTACCAATAATACAAGGTTTGCGTTCATAACGAATATTCGTTCAGATTGAGTTCATTGCTAGTTTAAAATTCTAGGGTATACGAAAATATAGGCACCTCAAAAGGTTTCCAAGGATGCATAACCAAGTTGAAAATCGGCAGGCAAGACGTCGAATTGAGCATTAAGCAAGAGGATTGGGTGCTGGAAGTGAAAGGAATCTACGACTGCGACGAGCACGCTTGTAAAAACTCACCCTGCGAGAACGGTGGAAAATGCGTGAAAGCCGATTCGCACGCGTTCCGCTGCGACTGCACCGACCACTACAAAGGCGATTTCTGCGAAGAAGCCCAAAACCAGTGCCAAGGCGATTGCAAGAAAGGTACGATTCCACATTATCCACAAACAACAACCAATCCAATATTTCGTACAACAGACTTAAAAACCCGAAACGGACTAACTCCCGAGTTCAACGGAAACAGCTTCATCCAGTTCCCGCAACTGGAGGGCATCAAGAAGAAATTCACCATCGAAGTCAACTTCATGTCGAGAGCCGCCAACGGCCTGCTACTCTACAACGGGCAGATGAAGAACGGCAGAGGCGACTTCATTTCCCTGAACATCGCCCGAGGCCATCTGCAATTTAGATTCAACCTGGGCAGCGGAATCGCCAACATAACGTATTTATATCTCTTTAGTTCATCCATAACTCTGTAGAGCAATAAACCTATGTATTACTTTCCATATAAACCCGTTCCTTGAACATTCGCTGCAGCTGTATTGCTGGCGCAGTGCATCTTCTACTAATATTACCACCTTATTTTTACACAATAATTTGAAACAGTATTGGTATATAGATGATGGAGGCGATAGGCCTATTTTTTGAACATATAGGTCGTATTGCTATACTCGTTATGTGATTTAAATATATAATTTTGTATGCCATATTTCTAATTTAATTATTGCTGTATTGCAGCTCAATGCCGATTACTCTAAACGAATGGCACAGCGTGCGAATTAGCCGAGAAGGTAGAGCGGGCACGCTGCAAGTGGATAACGGTACATTGGTCCGCGGCTACTCAGGAACATCACTGACAGAGCTCAACCTAAAGACGCCCCTCTACATCGGATCCGTCGGCAGCTGGAAGCAAATACACCGACTATCGGGCGCTTCAAAAGGCTTCAAAGGCGCTATCCAGAAGATCACGCTCAACGGAATCCCGTTGCCGATCACCCAGGCTCTGCCCGACTGCGTGGCTGTGGTGACGCACAACGTGACCGGGTGCAGTGCGAACGTGGGCTATTACACAGGACCGCCCTGCTCGTTGGATAACAATCCTTGTCTCAACAGCGGCGAATGCGTGCCAGATTTGGATAATTTCACGTGCAAGTGCGCGGAGAATTACAAAGGGAAATACTGCGAAATAGTCGATGAAGATAGCATAGCGATTAGGTTGGATGGAATGACGTTCTTGCAATACAGGAATAGGGGTTACCGCAGGTATACCTCAAATATTAATAATATAATTAATGCTCGGATTATATGCAAAGTGCATATTTTGAGTAATAGTACACGGCAATATCTGAGACTAAATTAGATTCTTAAAATGTGTGGTGGTCAATTTAATAGAAAAAAATTGTAGCCTCTCAAAAATGAGAGTTTCAAAGATTTGAAATTTTCATGCATAAAATTAGCAAAGATTCCGATGTAAATTTCATAAAAATTGCGAAAAATTAACGTCCAAATTTATTATTGCATTAATTATTTGGTAAAATTTTATATTTGAATATTTAATCAAAAAAATTTGCATATAATCCAAGCTTTACTAATAAATGTATCTAACATACTAATAATACTAACACTTCTTATTTAAAACTAGCGATAATCTAACAAATTTTACTGACAATGACGACGAATTTATTAACAAAACTATCGAAAACGATGAAAGCGAATTAGACGGTGATTTTTTCGACGAGCATAATTTAGATTACGATTCCGAAGATATAGAAGTTTTGTAAGTAGATAAGCCTAATAAACTAACATTCGAAACAGCTTCAAACGGGAGCGAATTTCGCTAATGTTCCAACGATACGTTTTAGACGAAAGCCCGAGCGCGGCAACAGATACGAAATAAAACTACGCACTTTTTCGTCCGATGGGCTCATCTTGTGGCGCAGCAAAAATAAAAATCAACTGCAGAACTACCTTTCAATCGCCATCGTTGACGGTTATCCAGAATTCAGCTTCAACTTGGGTAGACAGGAAGCGTTTTGGACAATCAGGTAGGAGAATCTCCAGCTTCTAATTTCCTGTGAATTAATGCGAGCTTTAAATTGTTCCCAGATCGCAAAGCAAAGTCGATGATGGCCAGTGGCACTCGATACAAGTCAGAAGGCGCAAGCGCGTGGGTTTCATCTCGGTCGATGGTCAGGCTTCGGTTAAAGGCGTCGCAAAAGCCGGTGCAATTGCTTTGAGAACCAATGCTAAACTTTGGATAGGTAAATTGAAGGTTTCAGTATAGTAAATAGTGAAATTATCGACTACACTTTGTTCCAGGTGGTTCTTCTGCGCTGCCCAACGATCTGCCGAGTGCGTATTACAAAGGCTTCGAAGGTTGCATCCAAAAGATTTCAATCCACGGAAAACCTCTAGATTTATTGTCTAATAGTGATATAAGTAAAATTAGTTTTTGTCATGACAATGAAATTTAAATTAAGAATAATGCTATTTCGAGAAATCTTTGTAGAACTAAAGATTTTCAACTATGAGACTGATATTTACTATAAAAATATTGGATATTCAATAGAATTTACGTTCAGTACGAATCGACGTAAAAAGGAAACAGCTTCCTTTCCAATAATTACTTAAAATATTCCTACAGTTCGAGGGGAATAGCTGAAGTTGTTCCAACGTTTGCAATTATCCCTGTCCTACTATACATGAAAACACTTCAATAATGTACCTATGTTCCTCAGTTAAACATTTTCGATACTTATCATTGTACAATAATATTAACAAAATGTATATAATCCTAGGCTTAGGACATTAACATCCTGTCAATTGTCCTTTCTTCTATTTCGACAAATTCTAAAATTTGATGTCCAAACGAACTCTCGCTAAAAAAAGACTACACCCTCTGTATAAACTTAACACTATATTACTGAAATATGAGTATTTCTGGGATTACACAGAGGGTGTACATCTTTTAGGAGTTTATCTGCATCTAGTCTGTCTATAATAATTTACTCATCTAACGGTCTATAAGTGTATATGTACAGAGTGCCATAACGCTAAATTGAAACCAAGCAAAAAAGTACCCGCTTATATGTTTCTTCCAGGACATTAACGTTTTATGTGGCAAATAATTGCCGTATAAAAATTCTTAGCGAATTATCCTCCCCGTAACTACTGAATGTTATGTATCTGAATGTTAGAGTACACTTTTAATGTAAAATGTATGTGTAAACATTGAAATCGGCCACAAAGAGCACACGATTATTTCTAAACAAATTTTCATTGTCAATCAGTAATAGCCTATAAAATTGGCAAATGAATAGAAATTATAGATGAAATTTATGAACTCAATTCTGGTATTTCACTATGGAAACGAAAGCCTGCCTACTTCGAATAATTTTCTGTAAGGCTCATTTTTTTAGTATTTTTACATGCAATAAGAAACGATAATAATTGCGTTATGGAAATTTCTAAATATTGTGTTATGGATTCTCCTTAACATATGTATAGGCGATGTTTTTGTAATTTATTTATCATACTAATTAATTCAATGAAGCTACTTTTAAGTTTAAAAACGATTAGTATAAATAGGTACAAAATAATGGAAAATATAATCGGAAGAATAAGCAGCAGGAATAAGTAATAAGGCCTTATTTAAGAGAGACTAGGCTAACGCTTGGTATAGAGAGAATCCGGAATTAAAACGACAATACGAAATTTTTTAATTAACTTAATTGGTAAACCCCAAATAAGCTCTGTTCTGCAAAAAGTACTGAATTCACCGATTTTTTTTAGAAAATAAGTTGGCTTCCTGTTAGATCTAATTATTACATTGTAGAAACTAGTTAAAAACAAGTAATGTCATTGACAAAAACTTTTTGATTATCTATTCGGACGAATAATTCTGGTAGCTGAGACAAAAAAATGAATGAACAATTCTAATTGAGTTTCAGTTCCGGTCGCCCTTTATACTTGAATCGAGCATGTTATAAGCATTAAGTAAGAACACGCTGAAGTCAATTTGTTTTCAAACGAATTGGACGAGTATTTATTAATGTGATAACGAAACTTTTATCAAATGATTCGCCTATAAAAAATTCGTAAGCTTCAAAAGCGGTTAAGTATTAAATGAATTACGTGGTACCCTCCATAAGTTAATTGATGTTTATACTTGTGTGTGATGAAATCGACGTCAAAAATTTATTTAACAGTAAAAAAATTCGTTTCTTCGGCTAACGAAAAATTGTTAACGAAAAAACTTTTACAAATATCGCTTCGACATTTTAAATATTGTAGTGAAGTTGTATTGAAATTGAAATAAACTAATCAGAATATTGTAATGAACCAAAAATGTCGAAGGATGTTTTCAATTCTAAAAATTGCCCCTTTCATTTTTCATATTCGTGTATATAGCTTTCATAGATAACAGTATATGTTGTTAAGTTTTTAGAAAATTTAGAATAGTTAGTTGAATTAATCATTAACTGAATTTAAAGGATATTGGGAAAAATCGCAATTGCCGCATTTAAATGCACTGAAACCATCTACAAAGGCTGCTAAACGAAATTAAATTTCTCACCACAGTTGGTTTTTTCCAGATTTCTTTAAATGTAATGTTTAGAATTTGTCATAGGCATACATTTCTGTAAAATATGAAATATATTTTTTTCTTACCCAAATTTCGTTTAATTTCTACCATATATGTCCTTTAATACTTATTAAAAATATATAAAACAATCATTAAAATGATTAAAAAACGTTCGATTTTCCACAATTAATTTTTTTATTCGTGTTTAAGAACATTTTTTTCAATACCTCGTCAAATACAAGGAAACTGACAAAAGAGCCCGAGACCAAAATCGCCCAAGACAAAGTAGCCCAATGACAAAATAGCCCAAAGCCAAAATGGTCCAATCAAAATAGCCCAGAACAAAGCAGCCCAATGGAAAAAAAAGCATCACAGTGCAAGAATTATCATGTCATGAAGTTGTCGAGCCATTTTTAGGAGAATCAGTCATCATTTCTATCATATCTAATAAATAATGCTTGCTTTTAATTTTACCGGCACTGTTTTATCTCAGGTTATTTTGTATTTGGGCTATTCTGTCTTGGGCGATTTTGGCTTTGGGCTATTTTGTCGGGTCGCGGATTTTTTCTAATAAACTTCGAAATTTCAACACAAATTCGCGAGATCGTTCACTATCGGCAAATTTCGAATCGGCGCGCGTTTAAGAATAACTCGATTCGTGAGCACATGCTGAAACTGACAATACAAAGTGTTTGAGTACAATCCGAAAAATTGAAAGCCTGGATTATATGGTGGTGATACGCTCACCCTGACCCTACCTTGCAACATGTCGGGTGATGTTCAACCCAGAAAAAGAAAAGATAAAAAGAGGAAAAAAGGTATTAGTATTTATAGAGTATCGCATATTTTAACGTAGCTTTCTAACGTGTGCGCTGAATATCTATTTTTAAAACGCGAGTTAATTATATAAAGTAATTTTTAGTTTTAGTCGAGCATCTCTTGTGCAATCGAAAATAGGAATATCGCATTTACCACAATCGCACGATTTCAACCAATAATTTTTAACGCACTTAATAGTTTTGTTGCGCTACAAAACAAATACCATATTGTACCTAATTCGCTTTGTTGTAGAAGATGAAGTTTACGCTGAAAAACTCCACGTGCCGATATTCACGAATAACACCGTAACCGAGGATGTCAACATTCACGTGCACAAAGAAGGAGGAACCGGTGGCGGAATTTGCGCCAAACTCGTGTTCTTTGTTTTGTTCTCAGTCCTGATTGCTCTAGTCGGACTCATCATAACCGAACACAGAGGCCTAACTGATCGTAAGCTCCCAATAAATAAATAAATTAGTTGCAACAGACAGAACCGTTCGGAACTCGACCGCGCATACGCAATTCCGTTAAAATTACTTTAACGCAAGCATACAAAAGCTCAGAACAGTTCAACATTCTTTTCTGAACACTACAAAAATATTAAATCTAATATTCTTTTTAGTCGATACTATAGAAAACTCGAAAATTGCGCAACTGTTCGAAGGTTGGATTGACAATAACGACGATCACGATACCCATGATATAGAAGATCCCGGTTCCAATGAACATGATGAACATGAACACGATGATCAAGATGATTTGAGCGAACTCGACGAATATGATGAAGGACACGAAGATGATGACGATGTATCCGAAGAAATTGATGAACATCAGCATTCTGAGGAAGAAGACGATCAGAACACTGAACTAGATGATGAAGATGATGACGACGAAGGTAATGAAGATCAAGATGAAGATGAAGATGAAGAGGAGGCCGAAAGGGAAATCGCGTCTGATGAACGCAATGAAGATGATGAGGATGATATTCAAGATAACGATAATATTGTCGATGAAGACGATGTTGAAGAAGACGACGACGATGATGATGATGATGGAATCGACGAAAATCAGGAAGATAACCAACTAGACAATGAAGATGAAATCGACGAAGAGAAGGACGCCAGTCGAGAAGAACAAGAAAAATCGGATGAAATTGCAGATGAACCAGTCGATGATAATAATGATGATGAAAATGAAGAGGATAATGATGATGAAGATCATTATCCTGAAGCTAATGAAGAAGATGCAAAAGATAACGTGGATAATATTATAAACAGTAATGAAAAAGATGATGATGATGATGATAATGATACTGATGATAAGGAAGAATTGAAATCAGCCGAAAAAGATATAAAAAATGAGGTAAATGCACAGCACATCCCATTTGTGAGGTTTCTTTATTTCGACATCCACAAATTGTTATTAATATTATTTTTTAGCCAGACGATAAAGAAGAGCAAGAAGACATTAAAGCAGAAGAAACTGTTGAAAATTCAAGCAGTAAGTAGAATATTTTCATTTTTTTTACCACTTACGGTAATAAAATTTTATCAACAAAAAAACAGAGTTAACAGCTAATTCAATACATGAATACATTGAGAGAACCCCAAATTATGCATTCTGAGAATAATAGTTTAGAAATTTAAAGTATTAATTAATGTTAATAAAAATTTGTTAATCAGGAAATGCAATTTAATTGTTTGCTCTATTTTTATAGTGGCTCTGAAACTCGGTGTCGGAGTAGCACTACTTGTGGTTGCTCATCTTGTCTTGGTTAAGAAATGGAGAAATAATGGTTAGTAGAATGCATGTAGATGTACCTTAATCACGAAAAATACCTACTATAGAATTCGAAAGTAATACAAACTCGTCGCCTAGGTATTTTACGTGCAGCTTTTCTCTTTCACAGCCACTAACATAGTTGCATTTCCTGTACAATCCGTCGCTAAACTTTCGCTTTAACTTCATCCACCTATCAATTTAACTGCTCTTCGTCAAGCGAACCGCAAACAACAAAACAAAGTTTATTCCTAAACCAGCTGGCGATGACGACAAGCCCGCCGAAGCCGCTTCGATACCAAACATCCAAGACAGAAGGAACACCATCGTAGTGCCTCCGACCTTCAACGAAGTCGAACCCGACATAGAGCAAGTCCAAGAAGGTACTAACCCACCCCGAAACGAATACGTTACCCACTAAACCCTGCTATTTTATTAGACTTCTCCGAAGAGGAGGACATGGAGGAAGACGAGCCCGTGGAGGTGAATAATACGAAAACTAAGTACCAAGAACTGGCTTCGGCGTACATACGCCCGACGGACAAGGCCAACGATTTCGATGACGACTTCGACGACGAGGAGCTCGATGAAGAGGAGGTGGAGGAGGAAGAGGAGGAATTCGACGAGGAAGAATACGAAGAAGGCGACGCAGAAGATGAAGACGAGGAATTGCTGAAGCGATTGGAGGCTCGATATGGGAAACTGCAGAAGGAAAACGGTAACGGTTGAAAGATCTTGACTTGTATTCTCAGAATGTGTAATGGTTATCGCGGGTTTTTATTTTTAATGATAAAATTGGAACCAAGCGAATAAAGTGTACTGTTTTTTTAGAATATGACACAGTAGAAGGTAGAGGATATGATAGTGAAAAAGAATCAGACGATGACTATGATTACACGAATAATGATGATAAGCAACGCGATGATCGTGAAGCTCTGAAGAGTGCTACAGGAAATGTAAGAAACAGATTGATATAAATACAGGGTGTTCTCGAACTTATGGCACTAAATTTTAGGGGTGATAGTTTACATAACTTGAGACCGATTCGCAGATTTCGTTTGTCTAAAAAATTTATAAAAAACAAAATTGGAAATTTTGTCTCCAAATGTTTAGAATCTTGAATAAAATATAAAAGTAAACCGAGTTTTTCAAACAATAAAAGAAAATAAACTTTAAACTCAAAAGGAATATTAGCTCACCGATTTTGTTGTTGAAAGCTGCTTAATTGTTCCAGAACATCACTATAACGAACAAGAACTAACTAAACTAAGAACACTAAGAATTAATTAAACTAAGAACACTAAGAACAAGAACAATCAAATAAATCACTAAAGTCTAATCACAAAAAACTATTTAACCCCGATGTTATAAGCAAAACGACACAATTCGCACTAGAAAACAATCGGTATAGATAACGTTTTTCGAAAGCTGGAGGGCGGAGGGGGAAATTTGCGCTCGCTGATAAATACAATGTATCTGTTTTTTGTGTTAAAATTCCGATCAGCTGACTATTCAGGCCAGGGTTGTATTCGCTCTTGGCGTTTATTTGTAATGGCTCTATTTTGTTTATTTTAATGTTTTTAGAAAAATAAAATCTGCGAATCGCTCTCAAATTATACAAACTACTACCCCTAGATTTTAGTGCCATAAGTTCGAGAACACCCTGTATTAAACAGTTTTAGGAAAACCACAAAATTACATGTCTAATCAGGGAATTAATGCAATATATCTTTTCAGGATTAACATCTGTTACCTATTCCACATTATCTATTTTTAGTTTGAAAAATTGTGTAACCTATTTTGGAATGTTTTAAGGATTTTTATTCAAAAGATTTAGCTTAATTCGGTACAATAATCTCATAAAATAAAATACTTCAAAATTTTTATCAAAATAAACCGCACAGATTTTGATAAGAATTTTTTTACTAACGGAGTTTGTTGGATTTATTAACGAAAGTTTTCGCGTTTGTTTGGTTTTTTATATGTTATAACATGTACCTAATAGTCCTGCACACATTTCTTACGTTCTCCCTTTCAAAATCTCGCAATAATAGTAGGTTAAAATACCTACCACGGCAGTCAAAGAATTCATAGGTAATGAAAAATATACATCGATTACAACGCTGTTTCAATTTTTCTTTGTAGGATCAAATGTAACAATTTCACACGATGGATGCAAATTTCAATGCTTCAAGAAATTCAAGAAAAATCAATTTTTAAACCAGTTTCCAAATTCAAGAGCCAAAAAATTGATACATCAAAATGTTTCGTGTCGTTATATTTATAATTTTCTAGATCAGGCTGTGTTATTTATAAAAATATTAGTTAGAATTACTGCAGTTTTATTAGAAATATGAGATTATTTAATTTTCAATAAATAACCTTCTGTATGAGGTAAAATATGTAGCCCGAAGGAATCGATGCCGCCGAATTCTAATGCGAATTCGTTTTATTACTAATATTTAAATAATTCAACCTTTAAAAATCTAAAATTTATTCTAATTGTAATACACAGGTACAAACAAAAAATAAAATATGCGAGTTGATCTAAAAACTAAAATATTTTGTACATGTTAGAAATTTCACTACAGTGAAATGGCAAATGGCATTAAATTTAAAGTTACCTAATTATTTAGTTCATAAAGGAGTCTCGTTGAAATTTCACTTACTAAATAAAAAAATAATAAAAGCTATTTAAAAAACGAGTGATATAATTTTTAACGAGATCGTTTTAAAGTATTTTTTGTTCTTCTCGAAGCCGATATGGGTTCGAAAAATTACCAGTCTTGCCTATTACATAGGATATAGAACATAGCTAAAATGAAAATACATATTTACATCAGAATTTCATAGTCAACAATTACCAATTATCGCACATAAAGTTTAGCTCAATGTCCTATGTAACAACAAGATAATAAATAACTTTATAACATTTACTCAAATATTGAAATACCTGAGAAAATTCCATATATGGTGAATTGGCATAATTATTTTTAAATATATAAGTTTATATAAACAAAAACCTGTTACTTACAATAACAAGATTCGATTCAACTACACGTACATCAATTAAACAACAAACGTATTTATGGCATCTATAAATAATAAACCAATTAACTTATAGTTTAATGCAAGATCAATTCTCGAATTTTCTCCGCCAGAGTAGAAAACAGAGGGCGCTCGTGAGGATCCGCGTGCCAGCAGGGGTGTATAATAGATATGTAAACAGTAGCAGGGCAGTTCGCCGGGCAGGGAAACCTCGTGCCCGCCTCCAACGCGGCCAACAGCACCTGCTGCTGAGGCATGCCTTCGTTGTTCTTCTCCGAAACGAGCATGGGCTCCTCTCCGTAGTTGAACATCTCGCACATCGTCACCCCGAACGACCACACGTCGGACCTCACGGAGAACTTACCGTCTCTCAAACTCTCCGGCGCGAACCATTTGATGGGCAGCTCCCTGTTCGGCGTCCTCATGTAGTAGTAATCGTTGGCGGTCATGACTTGGGCGAGCCCGAAATCGGATATTTTCACGTGGTTTTCGTCGACTACCAGTATGTTCCTAGCGGCTAGGTCTCTGTGCACTATTTTCTCCCGACCCAAATAATCCATACCCTCCACTATATCCAAAGCGTAATTCAGTAATTGAGTCTTCTGCAGTCTGTCTCTGTTTATTTTCAAATAGCTCTGCAGTGACCCGTGCGGTACGTATTCCATAACTAACAGTATCTCAGATTCTCTTAATACACCGATAATCTTCACTATATTCGGGTGTTCTAATGACTTCATGATGTTTATCTCGCGCTCGAAATCTTGCAGACAAGCAGACTCAGCGGAGGTTTTCAACTTTTTAACCGCCACCCGCTTCAACTCGGTGTCTTCCCCATCGACCGATTCCAAAGTACCTTTGAACACTTCCCCGTAGAAACCCTGGCCGATCCTGCCTTGCAGCACTACGTTGTAGTTTCCGTCCAACTCGAACACGCTCTGCATCGAGTTCAAGCTGTCCAAAGACGTGGTGGTGGTGGTGTTCGATATAATGTTCGTCCAATCGTATGAATCGTCGAAGTGGTGCACGAAGAGATGGGACACGCTGCCGGACACGCTGGAAGGCTTGTCCGATATCTCGCTCGCAGCGTCGCTGTCTTCGGGATACGGGACGCTCGTGCACTCCGTGAAGTTGGAAGATAGGCTGTTCGTGGAGGCGCCCGGTATGCTTTTGAGGCTCGATTTGTTGAACACCTTCGCGTAGCTGTGCGTTCTCCTGGAGTTGTAGACTTCGTACAGAACTTGGCTGATGTCCCGCATGATGGCTTGCGGTTTCTTCCTCTTGTGCGGGTCGTTGTCCCAGCATTCCTTCATGAGGCTGTACATTTCCTTCGTGCAGGCGGCTGGTTGGGGCAGCCTCTCGCCGGCTTGGTAGGACCTCATGGCTTGCATGTGGTCGATGGGTTTGATTTCTTCCCCGTACATGTAGATTTCCCATAGGGTCGTTCCGAAGGACCAAACGTCTGCTTCGGGGGACATTTTAGCCGAGTCTAGCTTGGCGTAGCACTCGACGGGTATCCAGTGGACTTCTGAGGAAGCGTATTGGGTGTGGATTCCGGGGTCTGTTAGTTTCACAGTGAATGAATTCTCGTTGTGCGAGGCTACCATCAGTTTCCTGCATCTGATGTTACCGTGAATAATTCGGTTTTCTGTTAAATGCCACAAGGCCGACGCTAAATTGCTCGCCGCTTGGATTAAATCGACTTCTTTCAGTTCGTGTTTGTTCTGTCTTAAGTACACATCGAGCGAACCTAAGCGAAAGTATTCTAAAACGAGGGAAATGTTGCTCGTAAAAGCTATACCAAACAGCCTAACTATTGCACTGGATTGAAGGAAAGCCCATTGGCCAGCCAACGACAAAAAATCCTTTAAATATTTATCGGCGTATTCCTGTTTCAACACTTTCATTGCAACTTCGATTTTTTTGCCTTTAGTTATTTTCCACATACTTCGAAAAACCACCGTTATGCCCCGGGAGCCTTCCCTTTTTTGGCCTTTGTACACTTGCAAGTCTTTGCAATTGATGCAGAAAGGACTAGTCAGACTGAGCGCGTTTAACACCGATATGTCTGTAAGAGAATCACCTTCGATATTATCCTTTCGGCAAAGAAGCAGAGGAGAAATGTCGTATTCAGAAGGAGGTAGGCATTCTTGAAGGTAGATGGCGCCATTTGGATCGTGATAAGTCATCATTAAGTGTTGAATGTTTTTGTATTTCGCGATGTCATCGTTGAATATAAATTCATTGCCGTTAAGCCGTTCTAATTTGAAAGTTTTGGGTTTTAAGCTATCCTTCATGCAAACATCGATATAGTAGTCGTTATATTTGGAAGATTCGCTTTCTCTTATAATGAAACACCCCGGCTTATTGTCCCTCTTTTCCTGCAACTTGGCGTAAGAAAATTCCCCTCCAACAGGCCCATGGCACTTCATCGAATGCAATTTCTGCAAGGAAGGAGTGTAGACTTCCCTGCATATATTAAACGTCCATTTCGTAATTAGCCTGTAGTAGCCGTCTAACAAACTAATAAAAGATCTTAGTAATTCAACGGATTCGAATTTCACGTAAAACGGTATGCCCGTCTTGCGGCTGATTTCAGCTGTGTTGTCTGCTCTGATCGACACAAAAACGATATCTTCAATGGAACAAATCAATTGCCACTCGGGCTTTTTGGAATCGATGCAATACTTTAGGCCGGGCTCGGTTGGAAGGAAAGGAGTCACTTTTAAGTAGATCCGATTGACAGAACCGTCTTGATCAACAATGGCTTTGTATGTTTCAATTAGATATTCGGGAGCGATCGATTCCAGTTGTTTCAAATATTGGCTTTTTACGTACGAAGCGTCGAATTCGGTTTTCGACAGCTTGCCGAGGTGATCGTGAATAGGCCTTCGAATGAAAAATGGATGTCTTTTCAGTACTTCTTTGGGTATGTATTTCTTATACTCGTTTTCTACAGTCTCTCTGGGAATATCCTTCTCTAACATGACTCTGTACATATCCGTGATGCCTAAGCCAACGAGCTCGCTCCTGTACTTCTCATATATAACGTCTGGTATTTTGTTTTCCAAGACATCATGACGGGCCTGATGAAAGTAGTAATTGTATGTGTTCTGATCTAATTTCCTAAGCTTGGCTATATTGGGCACTTTAAATCTTATCCTAAAGTCGAGAGGAACTGGTTTCTCACTGAACGTAGAAGCTGGCATCAGGAAAATGTTCTTTCCAGTCACACGAAGAGCAAACAAATGCCTAGTTAACGATCCAATATTAAGGTGCTTGCATACATGGATGCAAACATCTTCCGCTGTTGTGTTCTTGGTGTACGGTACAGGTACAGATTTACTGTCTAGTACGATGTTGATTGTTAAAAGCTCGCTCATTTTTGAATCATTGACTGTTCAATTGTAAAATAAATTATTTAAGGTCCACTGGCAAGCGGCAGTCAAATTATAATGCTAATTCGATCCTAAAAGAATAAGTACGTCTTAAACGTTTTATTAATCGAAAATACGTTTTCCTTACCATATTATAACTAACAGCAAACACAAATCGAATGTAATCAACAATATTTATCTTAAATGACCTTTATCCATCTTGGTCGGAAAATAGTAGTGGTTTATTTACAAATAAAAAACCGGTTGTGGTTACTTGTACGTCCGTCGGATTTCAAACTTTAATCGTCTAATTCGTAAAGTTAATGGAGATCTTGTGATGTTTTTAACTGTTTAAATCGTCAAAAACATATGTACTAATATGAATTTAATCTTTTCCCTTGATTTTATTATGTATTTTTGAAAATACAAAATAATATTTTGATAAATTATAACGCAGCCATGTCAAATGTCTTAAACGTCACTAAAATGTCATAGTTGTCAAAAGTAAAATTGAAGGTCAATAAATATTATAAGGTTGTCTAATACAGTTTACTACATAAGCCACATTCGTTTTTCCATTTATTTTACCAAAATACACCCATTTTAGTACATATGACCGATCACTTTATGATATTTAATATTGAATAACGGGATAATAGTTTCATTGAATAGATTGGTCAGAAATACTTTTAAAACACATGCTGCCATCTATTAGATAATTTAGTACGATTCTTTCGGAAAATGTTATTTCCAATATTCAGTATTTCCCCAATGAATTAATGTTTGAAAAATATTTGGGATGTAATTTACCTCAAAAATATAAAATAAAAAAGTTGTATCTTGCATATAATATTATGACTGCTTATTATAATAGAAAATAAAAGTACATTTTATAAAAATATTGAGAATAGACAGAACAATTTAATATTATATCACTTGAATAGTTAATAAAACACTACATACCCCTTGGCGTTTCAAAAACCCTGCGATGTCATTCGAAGAACAGCTACACTATACAGAACATTGTTAAAATATAATGTGGAAAGAACTTATTTTTTGGATTCAAGAAATAAATTATAAATTATAATGAATTTATTACAAACAATATTAAAATTGACTATGGTACATTGGAAATGGTTCAATAAATTGAGACATTCAATAACTGCATAATAAGATATAAGATCATAAAATATAATAAAAAAACAATTGACTTTTTATTACAACTAATAGTATCATATAATAAATTTATTTAAATTAAATCGCACTATAAAACAAAATAAGTTTTTTTTATAAAAAAAAATTTAGATGCAAACCTGCAAATCAATAATTGTATACTATATATACAGGCAAAATTTCACTTGAAGCTCATCACAGAGTAAACCTCGAACTAAATATTATATAATTAATATGAATCAGTGCATTACATATCCGGACATGCGACAGAATATCGATATAACCTACTTAAAAACAATAGTTTTGCAAAGTTACACCCAAGAATCTTTACCAACAGGCACGCTGGAAAGCGGTTGCGAATGTCCTTCGGATAAATGGCTAAGGCTGGCGTTTCCAAGGCTCGGCTGTCGGTTTCGTTTCTTCTCCATGTTTACTTGGGCGTACAAAGGTTCCGGCTGCAAAACACTTTTTTTGTTAATAATTAATTTACCAATCAAAAATACTTGCGAAACATTCACATAGATGTAATTGAATTATTTTAAAATAATTGTTCATTAGGGGACGAAGAGAAACAAGATGCTTAAAGCTTATAAGTGAAGGAATGAGTGACCTTATAAAGATTGGGGTTGGGAATGAAATTACTGGGGAATACTTAAATGCATGAATGTGCAAATATAATAGGACATAAAGATATGAACTAAAGGAAAGAACATAATTACTCTAAAATAATTACTTACATGGCAAAAATCCTTAAATGTAAAATTACTATGATTATGTGAATGTTAAGTATTTTTTTAGGTCGAAAACAGAGTAAGTTAATAGATGTTAAAATGTTTATATTAATTTACTCCATTTCAGTTAGTTATCCTATACGAAGTTGTAAATGGCCCTTATGCTGCTATCTTTACTGAACAATGCAAAAATCTATATGATACCAGAAAATTACCAATACCAAAATTAATAAATTCAGTTATAAATGGATGTGATAAATGTGGTATTTTTACAATTACATACCTTCCAAATTATTGGCAATTTTCTTTAGCAAAATATAGGTTTCATGTCGTCTTTATCAATATGCAGCTAAAGTTTGTCAATGGTTCTGAAAAAAACAAACTAAATTATTAATGAAGATTTTAGAGCGTTTACAACCTCGTGAAGGCTAAGCGGGTTGGGTTGGGGTTTATAAAAGAGCTAGATAAGGGCCTTTCGTTTCAAGCTACGAGCAGCGAACCAAAGGCCCCGAGTAGCTTGGGCCTTACCTGGGCCTAAAACGAATGGCGCCATTTGGAAGCCAAGCCGCAACGCTACCAAACTACCCGCTGACAGGGCTTTCTAGTACTAGAAAAACGTCTAAAATACGCTACTCACGATATCAATTTCACAAAATATCAAATCAAATAAGTAGTAAATGAACGTATTTCAGCTAATACTATTCGCTCACTGCCCAATGCCAATTGCCCGTGCCCCCGTAGCCCACCAAAACACACCTCGTATCATCATTAAACCAGACAGGAATCAGAAATTAAAAGTGCTACTAAATTCAAAGCTCATCCACTACAGTGATCAGGCACCTAAGTGGAATTGAAAGTGGTACACGTTTTTCTGATTTCTACGTATCAACGTTATTTTACCAAACAAACTACCAACTTTAATGACGCTAATATCTAGATTATCGATTCAGAAAAATCACTTGGAACAAAACTATTGGAATAACTAAAATTTTAATCAGTCGATACTTCTAACAAACCATATAATCAGACAAGTATTAGACAAGTTTTGTTAAAGCTACATTTTTACGTAGTTATTAAGTTATTCAAATTCGCAGCTCAATATAGGTCGAATTAATTGTGCCACATGAACTACATACAATAAAATATCGTTCAAATGCCACCAAACATTATTGATAAGGTCCAAATTATACTTTGGAAGCTAATCTAATTTACTGAAAAAATTTAAGTGGAAAAATTGTGAAAGTACGATTTATTTTCAATAATTATGTTACACTGATAATAAACATTACCAAATGTTTCCTTGCTAATCTTACATAATAGTATAATTAACTGGGTATAAAGTTACTTACAAAATTCTGCATCAACTATTACGCATTATAAAATTGTTTAATGCAGAATGTCTTTTAATCTTGTTGTTCGTCCGCTCTTTCAGTAAATTTTATCATTTTAACACACAAAATTAATGCTATATTTTAAGAAAATTTTGGAATGTAAGTCGAACACAATCTTGATAAAATGATAGAATCACGTACATCATAAAAGAGCATAAAATGTGACAGACACACTTAAGGTAAGGTCAGTTTTAGCAAACATGCCCAGCCAAATGAGTTAATATTCACATAATTATCCACAAATAACTAATAAAGCTGTTAACTACAAATTAATAATTCAGTTAAGGATTTATTCTAAATATGTAAAAATGTTTGTAGAAAGGTGTATTGTTTACTATTCGTTGATAAACAGTTTGCTTTTAAAAACTCGAAAGACTTGAATATTGGACATGTTTGTATTCCAAAAAGTTTCTTAAATCAATTTGAAGCTGCCCTAATTTACGATAAACTTAAACATACATTTACTAAATACTAGCAACACTCAGACAGTGATGTAGCAATTAAAAAATTATCAATATCGAAAACTAAATTATAAAATCTACCTTAATGTAAAGTATCTACAGATGTTTAATTTACGTTAAGTCAGTACTTTACATATTCAATAAAAATTTCTTTAATACTGTTTTTAACTGTAATAATGCATATTTACTGATTACATAATATATATGTACATAGATAATACAAAAGAATTTATAATACAAATAAATATTCAAAACAATATATGAAGTACAGTTGTTGATATTTTGACGAAATATATCAGAAAATATGCACATCTAAAAACGTTTAATATGCCGTTTGTCTAAGTTTAAACTACTTTTAAAGTATATATTCCCCAAGAATGTTAAAAAAACGAAATATTTATTGCAAGCAATATTTTGTAATTTTCCAACAATTTTTGACCATTTAGTTCCATGAAAGTTTTCGTTAGAAACGAATTACCTAAGTTTAAAATTATTTTTATGTGGAATTTTAATATATTACAAAATTACATTGATTTAATATTTATAAATTTAAACTATTATTCGACAGTCTTTGCTCTTTGAGCATTTTAGAATGTATAAAGTTGCTTCTGAAATCGATTACCCATAATTTCTTTAAGTTGGATTAACATTTACCAGCTAAAACTACCTCACGAATAACAATTGTAAAATTACAAATTGCGCCAAACAATCGAATTAACTAAATATAGTAAACTAACTCAAGAGAGGGAAATGTGAAAGTATCAACGAATTCTTCAGAATAGAAAGAAACCCTATTCGAAATAAGTAAATATAAAAAAATTGGTCCAAAATTATACAACAAAAGATGTAGATTCAAAAAAATAGAAATCTCTAAAAAAATAATTCAAATCTTCTAATATAAAAAGCCCTAATTAACTAAAATTATTTTAAATATTAACTATGTTCGTTTGTACGGATTTATATAATTTACAACTGTAGTTTTTGAATATATTAAATTTTGTAATACAATAATAATAAACATTCGAAAGAAGAAAATTGACACAGTCAATTCTATTCGTTTACAAATTAAACCATTTATTATTATTGCTCATAAGCGTTACATGCAATAAATATTATAATTCGTTCCAAACTGACAATAATTTTTATACTTAAAAAAATGATCTAGGAAGAAAGTTCTTCAAGTGTGATTAAGCATTGTTGGAAAGTTGTGATGCTGCATCACGATAACGCGCCTTGTCGCATAATTGCTGATGCAAAAAGGCATTCCTGTGGTATCTCAGCCCCTACTCTTCGTATTTGTGCCCCATCTAAAAAATTATATCAAAATTTTAACAACCCCGCAAAACAAGAGTAATTAAATTGCTAAAGCCCCGGCGCGCTATTTATATCTATATCCAAATCCAACCCATGAAGTTCAACTAAGTATAATTTAGTAAATTGACAATTTGAATTGAGCTTTAGAAGAATTGAAACAAATTCGGAATGGAACTCAGCTTTAGGAAGGATATTTAGAATATTTTGTTTTGTATGATTTAGAAAATTTACGCAACGAACATATAATTTATCTATTATTATAGTAAGTGTTTTATCTTCGGCTATTTCTAAATTGAAACTGTCAATATTATTGAGCAACTGTGATTGGTTCATAGGTATTTAATGAATATCATTAAAAACACTAATTAGATACAATAGCCGTAGATAAAAGAAAATACTGATAATTTTTTAAATAATTCGATATTTATATGAATACAAAAAAGCTTATAGAGGCTGAAAAACCAATTAATTTTCGTGTAATAACAAAACAAACTAGGAAATTAGACCTATTAAATCATCAAAAAATGTACCTTCAAATTAAACACTAATGTAAACTAAAGATAATATGGACCATATCGTTTATAGTTTTAGTTAACACAATTGTACTAACACAATATTCATATTCGTTCGACACCTTACTAATGAGTTTAGAATTTAAATTACTTGATATTTTTAGTGTATAGTATTGAATACAGAAACAGCTAGACGATGTATATAGAAAAACCTACAGCATCCGGAATTGCAAATAATTCAATAAAAATACAGCACACCCTATAAAATTAGTACGAATGTAAAAACATGTCCAGTGGCTCGTACGTACGCCACAATATAATTTGTTACAGTCTATGAGAATCAATACAAATCTACAAAGATGAGGCAGTTATTCGTTAGTGTTACTAAAATATATAACGGCTGTAAAGCACGCCAAAAACTTAACAAAATGAGAATTTACAAATAACATAATTTTTAACATATTTATCCATTTGGTTGACTTTCAATGCACAGTGCAAGGCAATTTCTGTCAAAATTTAATCATCACATCACAAAACCTTCTGTCAACTGTCAAGTAATGTCACAGAACGCATGCGCATTGAAAACCACAAGTCTCACATTTACAGCCGATATAACAAGATCGCCCTATTGCCAATTTGAGCAACTCCATCACCAAATAATAAAAAGACCAAATAAAACGCATTCAATTGACACGGATGTGTAGGGTTGTGCACGTAGAGGCTTATTAATGACTTACTGGAGGCGGGTTTTGACCTGGGCCGGAGGGGTACGATCGCCCTATAACAGCTTGGCTATCCGGGTACGCCATATCGGCCATTGGAATTTCGTCGTTCTGCAAACACAAAAAAAATTAGTTGTTAGGTTAAACTCAACACCGGCATTTTCACCGATTGGGTTTAGTGTGTACAGAGAGGCCAATTTTGAGCACTGCAATGATTAGAAAGAGACTCTCAAAGTAAAGAAGAGAAAATTAGTTGAACTGAGGAGAGGCGTGGCTTCGCCGCGATGATTCGGCGGATAAACTTAATTTTATTATACATGTACATAGGGGTTATTTTGTTATGATATTTAAGGTGAAAATACCGGCAAATATATAGGAAACAAATTCGCATTTTATCTGTATAAAGTAAGACAATATTATTACCCTTTGGAAGACACCAGTGCTTCGGCTACCCGGCGCTGCGCGTTTCATAGTCCTATCTTCATACCTAGTGCCGCTTTGGGACGCCATCGGACGATTCAAAGTGCTATTAGCATTGTTGGGCGAATTAGGTCCAGCGTTCCTCGCGGCGACAGTCTTCGTAACGAAATCCTGCTCCTTCCAGCCGTGCTTTTTGTAGACGTCCCGCAGGTCCTGGTGCTGCCACATCGTGAAGAGGACCTGCCCGGCGAATTTTAGTACCCTCGGAGTATACTTTTGTCGTTGCCTAGTGATGGTCATCAGTCTTTCAACGCCGCCGGCCTCCAACAGGGACCTGGAGAATTCCGCGTTCTTCTTAATCACCTCGTTCAGCGTCGCCAGGACCGCGGCGATGGTGTCGTCCGACGTGCCTTGGTCGTGTTGCGGATTGCCGGCCGGCAGCTTTTGCACGAGATCCCTCATCGCGTACTTGCCGATCAGCTCCTTGTTGCGCTGGTCGATGGCCAGGTTCCGGAGCGCCGTCGCGACCGCGCACACGACCCTGTCGACCTCCATCCGGAGCAGCTCGACCAGGATCGGAAGGCCCTTCTCCTTGCGCACCGCCGCGCGGATTTCTATGCTCGGCTGCCAGTAGCAAGCAGCGAGGTTCTGAAGGGCGCCGGCGGCCGCCTCGAGCGTCTCCGGGTTCGAGCAGCTCTGCAACAGCGTCAAGTACGATTGCACGACCTCCGGCTGCCAGAGCAGCTCCATGCCTCGAATGGGCTCGCCTCTGGTCGCCGCGCTCGATATGCCTCCGGACGTTCCCGTCGCGAAATTGTTCTCCTTCGTTTCCGACGATTGCGAGTCTTTCTTCTTCTTGCTGCCGCCGAAACAGCCCAAATTTTCACCTAAAAAAAAATTCATTCGAATCAGCAAAATTGTACAAGTACTTCTAGCAACAAAATTCTGCTAACGAAAATCTAGTTTGTTTAGTTAACTATTGGTTTAGTCATGGGCACATAATTTATTCGAATAATTATTAATCTTCATTCGGAGCTAATTGGATTTTGTTGTATGTTGATGAAAACTTTAATGGAATTGTAGGCTCTATTGTGATGGAGATTTATGCTATTAATTTGATAATTTATTTATACGCACCTTTTGATGAATTGGCCGCCACTCGACTTTGGGTCGGTAAGGGATTCTTGTCGTAATTCGGGTCTTCGACCTCCTGACATCGATAGGACAGGTTACGCAGGATGCACACACAATTTTCTACAATTTTATTGCCTATATTTGACTTATCTATGGCACAGCGGACGACGAATAGCAACGCATCGACCAAACCTTCGCATTCCCTCAATTTTTTCCTAGCGTACTCTCCGGCCGAGCTGACGTTTCTGAGCACGCCCGACGCGTTTCTGAATACCGTTGACCAACACGTTTCGCCGTGGTTGCCTTGCAAATCCCAACCGGAATGTGGTATTATAATATATGTAACAATTGTTGCTACGCCGTCGTCTATAATGTTCCTTTTCAAATCTTCGCACGACGACATGTTCCAAATAACGCCGGTGACGAGTTCCTTAATTTCAGCTTCGTTCGATCGTCTTAACAGCGTTATCAGAGCTGGTATACCGCCGGCGTTTTTGATCGCTCGTTTGTTCTCGTCGTTTTGTCTACCATAAGAGAGATTCCTTAAAGCTCCACAGGCATTCCTATATACCTCTATACTGTCATGACTTAATAACTTAACTAAAGGAGGTATCCCGCCGAGTGCTCTTGTTTTTTGTTTGTTAGGGTCGTCCATATAACACAGATGTTGCAAATAGGCTGCCGCGTTGGCTTTGATCACATTGTTGGGATTGCTGAGGAATCCGATGACTTCGGTTAGATTTGGGTCACGCCAGCGCATTCCCCTTTGGTCGTCGTCGCCTCCGATGCTGCCCGGAGAGGCGATATTATGCGCCCTATCGTGAGGTAGCCCGACGTTGTGACCGTGCAGGGACATCTTGCTTATGTGCTTTTGAAGGTCCTCGTCCTCGAACATTCTCATCGTTGCTCCTACTGGAACTGGTCCGTTGATACTATCTACATAAGGGCGTGACAGACTGGGAGCTGTACCGTATGGGGAAGGCGACACGTAACCGTACACGACGGCCGAATCATCTTGATAAGGGTCTATTCCTATCGGTCCACCGGGCGAGGGGGTGACCCTGTAGTGTTCGGGGAGTTCATCGTACCCTGAACCCAAGTAGGTGGGATTAGGTTGTGAAGTCAATGGCAGGGGCGAAGGGTCGCCGCTGTGCTCACTTGGACTAGGAGGAGTCGGAGGCCTTTCAGCACCGGTGGGATAGCCCATGTAGGCACCGTACGGGTTGGGGTAGTGATCATAGTCCTGATAATGCGGGTGTTGGTGGTGATATTGAGAATACATGTGGTGAGGTTGTTCAATGTAATCGACGTATTGAGGATGCGAATATGATCCCAACGGGACAGGAATGTATTCACCGGATGGATCTCCTAGTTGAGACACTTCTCGTACCACTTTCGTTACAGTCGTCACTTGTTGCGTTGTTTGTTGCTTCTGAGTTCGAACTAATGGCTCATCGCTATGAACAGACATGTGGCTTGAATTTGGAGAATGCTCCGAATGCCCATTACTATGTGGATGGTACACGCCGTCGCTTAAAGTACTGGACACTTCTGGGCCCCTGTGCAAGAGGAATTCATTACTTTAGATTTAAAAAATCTCGAGGTTTCGAGAAAATTAAACGATCAAACAAACATGCAAACGCAACTTACTTGTAGTGCTGCATATCTGGACCTTGTTCTTGTAATATTCTCCTAAAAAACATAAAATGAATATGATGTAGTGAACTATGATTGAAAAATAAAAATTTACCCCTTACAATAAGGAAATCAACAATTACTTTTTATATTATACAAAATTTAATAAGTTTGTCTTATTATATAAAATGTAATATTACTATATTTGTGAAAAAACATATTAAGATGATGATGAAATGAATAGAACCCTACCTTTGGGTGATTTCAGTGTGAGTGATGCTATGTTCTTGCCTGTGTTCCACCCTCCTATTCACCAAGCTGCGATAAAAGCATAAAGTTGTTTAGGGCAAGCGAATAAATACAGTGAGACACATGCAATTAAGAGCAAGAACCAACTAACCTTTTCATAACTAACATTAAATAGTTCCTACTTATGTATAGTTCATAAAAAAAGAAATACTAACTTCATACGAACCATTTTTGTGAAGGATTTGACTTTTAAACAATGACATGATGCAAGAGTAAAGAATACAAGAAAAAAAAGTGTTGATAGTTGAGAAAATGCATTATGAAATTAAATTAAATTGAAATGAATCGGGGGGAAAAAGTAGTATTAGAACTCACATTGGAGTGAGGAGACCTCATAACGCCACATTAGAGCCGAGCTCTATTATGCAGTCAACTCATCACATTTAGCTTATTGAACGGTATACGTTCTGATTGCTAATAAATAACACATAAAAACAAATAAAGTTAGTATTGTTTATATTTTTAAATGGATTAATAAGCACTTATGAGTTTTTTGACTGGAATTTTAAGAAAACAAATGAGTTACTTACACACATGAGTCCAAGAGTTGACTTGCAGACATGTTTGAAGTTGTGTTATTAGTTATTTACCCCTGTGACATAACATGCAAACATAAATTAGTCATAAGCCAAAGCGGTAATATCCCAACAAAATTACAGTTAAAACTACTTCGTATCTGAATTATAAAAATCACTCGAACAAAGAGACCCATTTTAAAATCGAATGCATTACTGTTACTTGTTCAAGAGTGGGAAATATATAGAGACCTTTTTAAATAACTAATAATCCAATTTGCTTTGGAAGCGAGCAAAAATTGAATTTTTTATTAAATTTCGTGATAATAAAGAGCGGCTATAAAAAAATTGGATTATGATCCCGGATCGATGGTGTTCAAAGTGAATGAAAATGTTCAATTAATGATTAACTGTAATTTTATTTTCACCTCGGTGCAAAAATTCAAACTATCGTGAACGACAAGGGTTTAAAAATGATAATATTTTTCGTACTTTGAGACTGCGAGTAAATTTGACTTTACCACCTTATCGAAGGCAGAACACTTCAGAAAATTTCCAGTGATTTCTGTCCATCAGTGTTGCTTCTGTAACAAAAAAAAAACACATAAGTACTCACTTATAAAAAATACTTGTGTACAAACTGAACTAGCATTAAGCTATTTTTAAAATATGATGGTTTAACGGGATGTAATCTTGGTTTATTTGCTGAATATATCGAGTCTTATCTTATTTGCTTACTAGTCACAATGGATAAATGAATGAAATAATGGAATAATATCAAGAATTCTGAGAAAAATTACACCACACACTTATTTTTACTTAGGTAAAGGGAAGCTTTACAAACATTATTTTAATTTCTTTCAAAAGAACACACAATACAATAACAGATATTAATTATACACAATTGAATGTTGTTAAAATATCTAATGTTAACCGAATCGACATCGATTAAATGACAATTTAAACAGTCAGAAAATAAATTACATTAACTAATTACACTTAATTAATTCAATTGAACGTAGTGAACTTTCGAAGTGTAATGAAGACAACTCGATCGGACGAATGCCCCAGGAAATCAAGTTTAATTACAGAAACCATCAGCTAATTATTTATCGGGAAACCTCCGAAACAAAAGCACCCACATGAATGGGTGTATCAAAGTAAATGGAATTTGGTAGTATTATTCCTGTTAAATATCATGGGGCACTTTCTGCTTGCGTAGTTGCATATATTTTTCAGAAATAGAGTAATTAATTATTGTTTACGGTTGTTGTTTCATTTGAAATAATAACTTTTTAGTATGTTGTAATGTATGTGGAATAGTATAAAACATGTTACGTTTAAATGGACTTATTACACTATTTCTACATTCCTGTGATGTAGTTAGTGTACATGTTACAATGAGAATTTTGAGTAATAATTTTGAATGAAAAATAAATATATTGTACATAATTACCTTTACTGATTACAATTGAGCACTAAAAAGGTTCAACATGACCATTCCAATACTCTATACTGTATGTGGAATAGTAGAATACAAGTGTCACTCAAATTGGTTACAACAAAACGTTAGAAAACACCCCAGTGTTTTTAATTAGAGCATTGAACAGATTTTGTTAGTAAAAACGTTGCATTTTCCCGTAAAAATTGATTTATTTACGAAAAAAATAATAAAAAATGTCTTATAGTGGGGCGGGGCTTAAAACTGTTTACATTCTTGTCGTGAAACTGGAAGAAGTGATTGCACTCGAATTAAGATTCACCTCGATGCGAGCTGATAAACTGCGGAAACCGCTCCCTCGAAAAGCGAAGCGCAGAAAGCGCGTACAATATGCCGAGGAAAATCTCGGAGACGCGTCAAAAAAAAATATATATAGCAACAAACCTATCATGTTTTCATTTTAGGCCTTGCAAGGTCGAGGCACTGCACAGGTACAATGGAGACTACGTCACCAGCTAGCCGCCGCAGGATCGCCGTGTTTTCGGGAAACGTGTTCGGAAAACGCTAGGCTCGTATTCTGGACCGCTTCTACACAGCTACCATCGTAACTGGGTGCCACTAAACGCTGTTATTTTCACCGCAAATCGACTACGACACAGGTTCACAACCTTACACTTTGCTTTCGCCAGACATCACTCCCACTCAAGTGCATGACGGATAAGCAAGGGAACCGATCGACCCGACGGATGCGATTTTGGCCGAATTGCGATCAACCTTTTCAAATTCCTATGCGCATTCCGTGTAAAATTGTTCTATTCGAACTGCTGAGGGACTTTCGACGCGTAAATTTCAGTTTATTTTCATGCATTAGTGCGAAATTTGATTAAACGAATCGCACTTTTCGAAATTGCCGCCTTTTTGATTATTGCGGCCTCGATACGGAACGCAGCTAAACAGGTGTACTTTCGACAACAGCCGATAGATGGCTTATCAGAAAAATCAATAAAGTAGTTATGCAACACATTTTACATAAAGTATATTTACAGATATGGATTCGCCTAGACTTTTTTAAAGTAGTTATTAATTAATCGTTACTTTGTTATGCTCGTTTTAAACACTAAATGAATTTTTACATTTTAGATACAGAAGAGAGACATTGTTGACCTTGTTGCCATTAATTAGGTACTTAATTAAACATTATTGAAACCGTAAATATTCGGCAATAAATTAAATTGACTTTTAATACTTATTAAACTTTAAATTAGACAGATACGGAATCGCCCAAACGAATTATTAACAATTTACTACCGTTTACTATTGTGACAATAAAAAATGATTTTTGGAATGTTTATATAACGAACAATTATTTCAATATCACAATTACTAATTCAATGTTAATTAGGTAAATCACTGTTGTGCATTGCAGCCAAATACAAGTAATTTTTGTAAATCCCACTAGATAACTGAAGAATCAATAAAGTAGTTATGCAACTTGGTTAGCACGGTAATAGACAGATGCGGACTCGCCCTAGATGAATTATAAAAATTTTGTTGAATTCTACGAAAAAATTATTTAATTTTAAATCACTACTATTTTACAGGAATTGATCAATTCTTGTACATTTTTTCCTGCAATATGTTTTTAAAAATCACTTGGACCAATCAATAAAATGTCTATATTCATAGAAATCTTTAAAAGTGCTCAAACACGGTATCATCTTGAGCGTTCGTTAACACATAAATTAAATTCCTGTAACAAAATTGTTCAAAAACTTTGTACTTTGCTACACCCCTTAAGAGGCATTTTTGTTACATAGGTGTTACTGTTACATAGGTAGAGCACAAAATTAATAAACCGATTTCATTAAATGTGTCTTGCACTTGGATGTGCATATCGGGTGTGCATATCGTAAGAATAATTTGAATTACCTAAAACGTGAGTGTGTGGAAAATATTTTCATATATTCAGATACACATTTCAACGAACATGTATAATGTACAAATATACGTAAATGTGACCACGTGACGCGCCGGACGTTCGCACGCCAGAGATTAAAATTTCCTCAAACTGCGCGAATTTTATGAGCAGGGAATATATTTTTTAAATGTTTTCACCAAGCACCGGTCAAAAATGATTTCGGACGAAAACCGAAATTGGCAATTGTAAAATAATTACCTACCGATATTTCTGAATGGTATAAATCGTGAGGCTGAGTGCATATTCGTGATTTTGTGTAATACATACAAATACACGTTATATTGGAAATTCGTGTAGGAACTGCATAGTTATTACAAACAATTAAAGGTAATAATAATTTATTTATAACTTGCGCAATTTTAATAAAGCATATTTATATTAATTTAAATAAAAAATAACAGAAATTTTGGACGGGATTCAAATATTTTTGCCTCTAGGTACATATACCAGTTTTTGCTAAAAATAAATAATAACATTTAGGTGGAGGAAAATTTTAGTGTGAATGATTTGTATGTTTATTTTTAAATTTTCAACCAAATACATTTGGAAAAAAACCATCATCTATAAAGTACAAATACACAAAAGAATTTCATTAATTTAAAAAATCCTATACTTATATGTAGATGCATTTATGGCATACAGCGATAAATGGAAAAGTTTTGCTTTAAAAACATTTTATTTGTGAACCCTTTGCAGTCAAACACCTACCATAACATAACAGATTTTTATTGTTTTATTTCAAATCATCTGAAACAAACACACATCAAAAATTACAACGCTAAAAAATTGTGTTCCCAGACTATTTAATCGCTCGTATTTTCGACACGTGTTGTAAACTACAAGGTACTTGTACTCGCGAATGATTCACGCATGCAAAATCGATGTGCGCATTGCTGCAAGCAAATTTCGGCTGATCCCAGGATATTTTCTGGATAGCATTCGACAACGTGGCAGCCCGGTTACTGTTACTGGAACAGCTGATTTCCGCCAAAGGTTTGTTCTAGAACGGGAATCTGGAAGCCGACACGTGCGGTTAGTTTGGAGTAAAAATGCTAAAAAAATTAGTTAGTAGCAGTGAGTGCGGCTTAAGTTTTAGGCCGAAACTCGCTGTTCGTCCTAAAGTGACCGCTTACCCCATTTCGGTGAGTTTCCATGTACAATTTTCAATATATCGCGGTTGTTACCACAGGTGTCATTGATACAGATCAATTTTTTTATAAAATTTGTTTATTTTCCTCAATAAACTTGCAAACGTACATACACGGTGTTGCGGTTTATTTCATATTTGAACATGTTAGATATTATTTTCAATGTTAACCAACCTAATATTTTATTAGACAGCTTAATTTGCTTCGTTAAAATTTTATTTAGTTTTGTTACTCGCCTTTCCGAGAATTTCGAGCAAGTTTCCAATGATGGATGGCAAATGACCAATTTATAATAGGCAGAGATGCATGTGGTATCGATTTTATGTGCTGCCTGTGTTGCCAAGAACGTTAAGAAATTCATAACGTCTACTTTAATCGCAAAAAATATTACGTATGAGTATAATAATTATAATAAATTATAAAATACCATATATTTATAACAGCACGTTTAAACAATTTCTATAATTTTCCGGAATTTCACTTACTACATAATAAAGGATTATTGAAATGCAAATGCAAATACATCTACAACATTATTCGAAACCACATTTTGGTTTAATATTTAATAATAAAATTAACACAAAGCGATTTATGTTTAATCACCCGATAAGATAATTAATATCTAACATAACATCCGAATTTCCTACGATTTAGTCAAATCACTGTAGTTAATTTGTATAATTATTATTTTAAGGCCGTCTTCACGCTTAGAAAATCACAAACCATTGTTAATGCAATTTGATTCGTTATGTAATAATTATACTCTGTAATTATCATTAAATCACCATCACACCCGATTATAAAGGTATTTTAAACAACGCGATTTTTTTATAATGGCATATATTAGAGCTATATATTTTTTATCATTGCAATCTTGTTCACGACGGTAACAATAAAAAATAATGTACTTGAACTCAAAATGGTCGAAAATTTCCATCAACACGGGTAATTTTTCTGTAAGTGTGATATTTGAAGGATTAAGAAAAAATTAACTTTTAATTGATGGTTATTCAAGTATGGAATTAAAATTAAAATGCGGTCTGGTATTGTAATATCAATGCTGGTTTTGATTGGACAATAAGATCAAGGATTCATTTTAATTATATATTTAATTATTAAGATCAAATTAAGTCGTGACAAAGAATCGATAAAACTCTTAATTATATTACTAGATGGAATGTCAACAGTTCTAATTGTTCAAATCTTAATAACGTAATTTTTATTGTTTTGATAACAGTATAATTTTTATGTCGACCATTAAGTGTTTTATAGCTATGTTTTAACAAAATAATAAATCAGATGAGAAGCTACATTTAGACAAAGATTCATAAATGTACACCTGTAAGTATTGGTATAAATTACCAGCATAAAAAATTTAATAAATTAATTGAATTTTTTTAATTGCATAATCATCAAGTATAAATTCATATTAGCAGTTTTATAAGGGAAATTTACTGGAAGTCAATAGCTATAATGGTATTATTATTCTTCAATGAATCGCGATTAAACTTAAGTACAGACAGCTACACCAATAGAAACAAACAAATTAATAATTATTAACTCGTGTGACATACCACAATTGCTATAAGTGATGTGCGTTATTATTTCCAAGGTATATCTTTAATTGCCATCATACATTAAACAATATAAAGACATGAGTTAAACAAAAACTAGATTGAACTTGTTATGTACGGACATTTTAGGACCAATATGCGTACTTTGAACTTCACCAATACTGTTGATTAATTTCGAGATTTTAATATTTTTCAAACTGTTGGAAGTAGTATAGTACAATTACGACAGGAAGAAGTACCTATTGTGAAATTTGTTGCTTCATAAATGAGTGGTAAGAAAATTAGGAACTTTTAACTTCATTCTTCATATTAAAGATTGCAATTTATTGAACCTGACTTAAATAATTAGCAAATGAGACCTAACTAAGGTCTCGTCTTATTAATAAATACTTGTGTTATAGTTGTAGACGGGTAATTAGAGATTACCAGGTTGTAAATTATATTTTGACTGTGTTGATTATTGTCCTAGGACTGTATGGTATCTCCTCTAAGGAACTTAATAAGCTTTTTTCGAAAGTGGTGTATAATCGTCAATTGTTTAGTGGTTTCAAGGGATATTTCACATTCCACATTAGTGGCACTCCTCACGTTCTTCTATGACCATTTTCCCGAGACCTTATCTCAATGGGATTATTTCCAACGTTTATTCTTGTTTTACTGATAATTCCCACACCTCCGTTCTAATGGTAACATTGACCCGGCTAGAAAAATACCATAGTGAACACCCCGTGGGGCTCTTGCGGCTTGCCCCATGTGCATCCTGACGTATATTCCAAGTATATTGCACAAGTCCGCGTAAATTCCACCTCGCTTAGTAAATTGCAGTCGGCAAAAAACGACTTAACGATATGTTGCAATCCTGCGTTTCCATCACCTGCGGGCTAGACAAGACAATCTTGCGATTGCCGACGGTGATTGTTAAAATTCTCGCGAAAGGTGTGTCTGCCAGCAGGCCAATAAGAACCGGGGGCTCGTCTGGGTACGTCACCAGCACGTCACGGCTTGCACAAGATAATATCACCTCCTTGGCTCCTTGCTCTATTAAATAAATCAGTCAAAAGGCGAAGATCGAACGAGCAGTCGGCGCGCGGTACTCAGCTGAGACACTTTGAATTAAATTAAGCGAAAACAAAAATCGCTGTGATCAATTAAAATCGACCGTATTTTTTTGCAGGAATGCCGTGGGGGCGTTGAGGGTTGGCCGAAATCCATTGACCTGTGTCGGTTAATTTTTAATTAAATCAAAAATAAAAGTTGGAATAAAAACGATAAAAAAATGCTGTGCGTCTTAAATTTAGTGATTTTTGTGATAATAAACTTTTTAACAACCGATGCTTCCGTAGAGGATTTACCACCACCATGCTCTAGGTGAGTTATTTTTAATTTCAATCTACTCATTGGCTCGTTGCCAACCGTTTTTCGAAATTTCAATGTTCGTTTCAGCGAAATCTATTGTTACGGACGTTTGTTGGACACCATTCAAACCAGCAACGTATACAAAGACTCCAAAACGTTCGTTGATATGAAAATGAAGCACATCCCCAATGAAACCCTCAGGCTGTTCGACGAGTTTATGGCCAGCCATCAGGCCAGACCTACGCGGAACCAAGTCAGTGAATTTTTGAAAGCGAACTTCGAGCCGGCCGGTACAGAATTTGAAGAGTGGAACCCCAGCGATTGGGTATCCAATCCGAAGTTTCTGGCCCGGATCAAGGATCAAAAATTTCGGCTCTGGGCCAAAGAACTGAACGATATATGGAAAATACTGGGGAGGAAAATTAAGGCTGATATCAAAGAAAACGTGCAGTATTATAGCATAATATGGGTACCAAATCCGGTTATTGTTCCAGGAGGGAGATTCAGAGAATTTTATTATTGGGATTCCTATTGGATTCTACAAGGACTCTTGTTGTCGGAGATGCATGACACTGTCAGAGGGATGTTAGAAAACTTTCTTTATATTCTAGATGAATATGGGCATATTCCCAACGGCGGACGTGTGTACTACTTAGCTCGATCTCAACCGCCTCTCTTAACAGCTATGGTTAAAATGTACTTTGATTACACCAACGATATCGATTTCATCAAAAATAACATCCAAACATTGGAAAAGGAATTCGATTTCTGGATGAACAACCACACTAAAACCGTTAGAGTCAATAACATGAATTACACTCTGGCCTTGTATGGCGACAAATCTTCAGGACCTAGACCCGAATCTTATTCAGAAGATGTGAATACAGCAAGCGCGTTCCAAGATAACAATGAAAAGCAAGAGTTTTACTCCGAATTGAAAGCCGGAGCTGAATCTGGATGGGACTTTTCAAGCAGATGGTTCGTCTCCAATGCCACTAATAAAGGTAAATAACTGTAATTTTAGTTATAACGAAGAATTTTTTCTATTATATAAAACGCATGGTATTCCCAGAATTTTATTACGTGGGGATTATTAGAATTAATTACATAATAACGGTTCTATCAAGTTTACGAGTCGACATTGAAAGCGCAAATTATAATTATTAGTAAATTGATTAAAATAATATATTTATTACCGTTTGATTAAATATGCTTAAACTGTTTCGTACTTTAATCCCTTAGTAATTAACTTAAAATTGCAAAATAACTCACAGCAATAATCTGATGAAATCAAACAAATAATGTTTCTATTGCTGTATATTATATATTTCAGGGAATCTAGCGGACGTCAAAACAAGATCAATCGTGCCAGTAGATTTAAATGCCATAATTTACTGGAACGCCCAGCTACTCTCAGAATTTCACGAATTGCTCGGCAACCAGGAGAAGGCCGCCATCTACAGCGCCAAAGCGGACGAGTGGCTGCGCGCCGTCGAAGCCGTGCTGTGGCACGAGGACATCGGCGCTTGGCTGGACTACGACATCATCAACCAGTCGAAGAGGAACTACTTCTACCCCACGAACATATCCCCCTTGTGGACGGGATGTTTCAACAAAACCAACAAGGATCGAACGGTCAGAAGCGTCCTCAAGTACCTCCAAAACAACAACATCATGCACCCCGGCGGCATTCCGACCAGCATCGAAAAAACCGGCGAGCAATGGGACTTCCCCAACGCCTGGCCGCCGCTCCAGCACATGATGATCGTCGGGTTGCACAACACCGGCGACGAGTACGCCAAGAGGTTGGCCTACGAAATCGCCGAGCGATGGGTCAGGACTAATTACATCGCCTTTAACGAGACCGGCGTTATGTTCGAAAAGGTAAATCGCCTATTTGCTCATTCGGATTTGCAGTTACCTGCAACGATTCATAGTCCAGTTAATAACAAGGTTGCGGCGAATTGCCAACGATTAATCAATAGTTTGCATCTACCTGCCTCAGCGACCTTGAGATGTTAAGAAAATTTATTGTGTGTGTCATAATTTATATCAGTATCATTAGCCATAACAATTGTATTTATGTACCTATTGTTCTTTTTATAGTACGATGCTACGGTGCCCGGTGGTTATGGCGGTGGAGGCGAGTACGATGTCCAAATAGGCTTCGGATGGACGAACGGTGTTATCATGGACCTTTTGTACCGCTATGCGGATAAGCTGGCTGTAGAAGATCCCCATCCTGTGGTTGAAAACGTGGCGTCGAGCCTGTTCAGTTCTCCGTCTTCTGGTATTAGCTCCATAACGACTGCATTGATAGCATTGTTAGTGTCAGTAACGGCAGGATTCACAGGGTGAGGTAAGTTGAAAAATATTTTTTTATTATACTGCAATTAATATATGTAATTCTAAAACAAGTTTCTGTTATACCATACATTTTTCCCAAAAATAATTGGTTTGTTATTACGTTGGGGACTTTATGGGTGTACACTTTATGGGTTTTTTTAATCGGTCAAAGGTCAATGTTGATGTTTAAAATTGTAAATCCACTTTAGTCTTTGATATTTTTTATTTAAATTTGTTGAAAAATTTGAAAGGTTTTTTTTACGGGAATTTGATGTGATTATTATCGAATCGATAACGGGGAATTTCTATATGATTGCGTTTTAAGTTACGTGGGAAAAATAAATTAATAAATTTCACGTTTAAAAGTAAATATGTATTTGAACTGCATAACTACTATGCTAATAATTTGGTACCTATAGAAACTTTTTTATTTCGAGAATAATAAGTAAATTTATTTTGTCAATTGTATTAATGTATTTTTTTTTGTTTCAGGATACTTTCAGTAATGGTAATAAATTCTGGTGATGCTTGCAAAGTAATGCGAATGCGATTTTAAATTTATTTGTGGCTTGAGGTAATTATAATTTAGGCTGTGATTAGGCGAGATTAGTGAACAAAGGTACAAATTTAGTATGCACTTAAACATGCTAATAATTTAATTATTAGATAGGCATATTAGCATGAAATTTGCTTGTTTGTTATAATTAATTAATCTTATAATTCAAGATTGTTTAAAAAAATACGGATACAAGGTGTATTGAATTTAAACCACATCCATACTATAAAAAGGCCTTGAACCTGATTTTCATATTGATTGTTGTTTATCTGTAAAATAAATTAACAAGCTTTACATTTATGCCTTGTAGATATGCTGCATTTTACTGTACCAAAAATAAAACAAACCAGTAGACAAAGATATTTATATTAAAATTTGTAAATTCTTGTCTAACTTGTTATTTATAATTACTATAAATCTGTTAAGAAACCGGACTTTCGATAGAAATGATATCTTTGTTGAATCTTCCACGTCTTCGATGCAATTAATTCAATAGAAAAAAGTTGATGTGGTTGTGTTGTGGTTTGCGGACCAAATCTTTAATATGATATCCTACAATTTCCTTGAATTACACCATTAAACGTCAGAAAAAAGAGCTTTTAATGCCTTTGATAATGGGTAAAAAATTGATTTGGTGCAAAACATACACTATAAAACAAGCAAGCAAATGATGTGCGAAATACCTCACACATGGAGGGAATTATAAATACAAGCGACACGACACGTGTGTTCCTAGCTGTATTTTTATGAGATCGTAAGTACCTTGAATAATGCCTAGTCACTAATTTTTTATTAGTAGGAAGGAATGTGATTGTTGATTTGTAGATTATTTTTAGGTTTTTTTAATTGGCGCTTGTAATATGCATCAAATTGTATCCGATATCAGCATGTTTGTACCGGAAAAGCACAGAATTAAGCATGTTGTTGATTCGCGAGCAATGAGCTTCAGTGATTAATTTTAAACTCTTCCTCCTAAAATTGTAGGTACTAATTTAATATGTATAATAATTAACATTATGTATATTTTTAACTTTATTTTTAATTTAAGTTATTCTTTAAGTTGTAAATAACAAATTATCTTTACTAACAAAAATATATTTTGTATATACCAAATAATAATTTAGTGAGTAATAAAAAAAACGTGCTATTGGGTTATTTACTCAAGATGATGAGTGCCTTTATTAAACTCATGGGCGCATTGTAAATATAGGGTTAAGGTGATTTTATTATTTTTTCCGTTGCATGTTGGGTGGTGCATGCATGTGTTGCTGAAGAATTGGGATGTTTTTAAAAACCCGGTTTTGATCCGCAGGGTTTTGCTTTACAAAAGACGAAATCAGAAACAAACGCAACAGGTCGATGGTAAAAAGAAGCCTTTCACAGCGAGGTACACGGAACTGAAAAATATACCTAAGTATAATAAGACTGTGAGGTAAGTGCTAGTCGGATTATCGTAGAAAATTGTTTAACGAAATGAGAGATGGAAAGGAAAATTGTTTGTAATATCTGGTGTGCCATTAAATTTGCGTTTTGGATCGAAGAAATCTGATTAACTTTGTACACGGAAAAATCAATTTTTGGTATAAATGGGAAGTTATTTTTGTTATAACTGCTCTGTACATCACAATATAATGAATTATGTGCTTATTATAGTTATATACGTATTAGCTAACAATATACATGTAATGCATTGTGATGTAAGAAGTAGTCTGTTTAGGTGAAAAATTCTCAATCTAGCTCAAAATTGTACGTTTTTCACACCAATAAGTGATTTAAAAAATATCGGTAGTAGTGATTTTATGAATTGAAAGCTTAATGTAATTTTTAATTTTTAGTTTTTTAAATTGCTAGGCAAGTAGATGAAAGTGAGTAGTGGAGAATTTTGTGAGTTTCATATAGGTAGATATATCAATTGCGTGTTGGTTGATTGTAAAGGTATATTTTTATACACCAGTGGATATTTTTGAAAAATATTGTTTTAAAATAAGAAATTGCGTCCAAAAATATAACAACTAATTGTTTTCTCTACTTAGTAAAGCATAAGAAAAGCCGACATTTTATAAAATTACTAAATCTAATAAATGTTGAATTATATTAATTGAAAACATCGCAGTATTTTACGAGGGGTGTACCAAAAATAGTAGAAAATGTCTACCGCTTTCAAATAATATGCACTTTTATTCGTAATTTTTTAAGTATTTATGAGATGATCTTTTATTTATTGTTTTATTTTTTAAACAATTAACCAAAGTAAGAGAAATTAAAAATCGGATAAAAACTGTGAGAATACGTGATAAAATCATGACGATTTAGGTAATTTATTTAGGAATTTACTGTATGCAATATGCCGCTTGGTCCAATACACCCAATTCATTATACAAAAAGAATGTATTCGACCATGCGGTATATTTTTATTTTTTGTACAACGTAAGTACCTCTAAATTTTACAAATTTTATAAATCCTTTATCATCGGTCTGTGGTGATTGATATCAAATACAATTCCTTGTTGTTGGAGCTTTATTTTTTTAATTATAGACGAAAATAAGTATTTCTGAGCAAACCGAATTAAAGGATATCGAAATAACACATTGAATATGATGAACAGGATTGTGATATTGCGAAGAGTATCGCATAAAAGCTGTCCAAATAGAGTTACAGGTTCAAGAGAATGTAGCATTGTACATTTTTTGGTGTAATTATAGTGGAGGACGAATTGAGAGATAATAGCCGAACATGAAGTATATTTTTAGACTTAATTACACTATTTTTGTCGTTTCATTAACCATGAATTTCATTAGATATCCAGGATAAAGTACATTTATTTTTGTTTGTCTGAATAAATTCTAATGAAATGCAATTCTATTTGGAAAGCTTTGAGAGACACTCCACGCAGCGAATTGTTTATAGAGGATGATTTGGTAACAAGACGGTGCTTGTCTGTCTGAAGAGCATCAAACTGGAAGAAACAAAAACCGTTTTAAATGTTTTTAACTCAGATATCCTAAATTTCATCTATTTTCTATAAAGTTAGCTGATTTAACTGTAGATAATAAAAAATAAAGTTGTGCATTGCATTGATAAAGTCTATGGATATTTCAAATCGTGATCATTCCTTGCACCTATAATGTCACTTGTAAGTAATATGTAATATTAAATAATTAGGTAGGTAATTATTTTTTTAGTAATAGCATGTCGGTTGCCAATTGCTAAGAAATGTAATTATTTTGTTAAACAAGTTGCAAAAATTTGTTAACAGTCAGCTAAATAAACTTCATACAATTAAAATTTTGTTTCATTGCATATACTCTATGAATTGAATAATTAATACCCTAATAAAGATCATAAATAATGTAAAAATATATTTTCAAAAGTGTTTCTATGGTTGCCTATACAGTAGTTATTTTATTACAGTTTTCTTCTTTATTTAAAGACAGTTTTCTGTATGATTCAAAGTTTACTACACTACCAATAGATGTCGATCTATACAGAAAATGTTATTTCATTGCACATATTCAGGACTAACATCCTCTATTATCCCAATTAAATGAATCCCTTAATAATTAATGGTAGAGAAAGCCTATCCGATCTTCAACATGCAAAATATTTCTCACACATACGATACATTTAAACCTATGTCAGTTGCGCCTAGAAAAAAAAACCGGGATACAAAAATAGAAAACGCAAATAAAGGAATAAAAAATTGCAATAATCCTTGTAGGTCGTCGAGTCTAAAGATATGGCGATTGCCGGTTGAGCTAGCCTCATATGCAAAGCTTTCATCAAAATATGCAAATTCCACCGGAAAGATTTTTTTATCTGCGCGCATTTATAGGGACATAACTACGCAAATTATGTTAATAAAAACTTTCTGGTTTATTTCTTTATCTCGTTCCGTTCCTGCGGTTAGATAAGAATTAGATTAACAGGGTGTTCCGGATGATAGTGTAAACATCTAACAGGGCGATTGCAATTGCATTGCAATTCGATATGAAGAGATTGAAAAAAATATTGAGCGATAGGAGATGATTTATGATTAGGCTAAAAATTTTATTGTTATATTATAAAGATACCAGGAGTTTTGATTAACAATTTTATTAATTTTTGTTGTCAAATAAGCTCAATGATCATCAATTATTTCCCTCCTATAATCACAGGAAATATAAAGTGAATCGGTGCATAATATGTATGTAAGTGTTTCACAAAGAGAATGTAATGCAAAAAGTACTAACTAAAGTTGTTTTTAAAAATGAACTCGTTTTCGAGGCAAAAACGTTCTCCCCACTCGTGTGTGTACCAATGGCAAAGCGCAGTTTATCGACAAAAACCGCTAGATAAAATGAAAAAGTAATTTTCTTAACAGAGAATTCATGGCAAGGTTGTTCAATCGTTTTCGCATTAGCATCGAGTTAGCGCTTGTCGCCACATGACCGTCCTCCAACCCCCATACCTACGCCGAACCCTCACATGTTCCTGGATTCCTCAACACGTTCATTGCCGTCTCCAAAAACATCTTTCAAACAATAATGCGGAGCATAACCACCACTCTTTATTACGTAAAGTTCATTTTACTGGGCATACTTGCACTGCTCTGATCCTGTTTCATGAGAAAATTGATATTTTCTCACTACTTATGAATCAACTAATCAAATCTCCTTTATACAATTTATAAATATAGGTGAATTTAATGTAATAAGTACTACTGGTACAGTGCGAAAAGAATAGCTGAAGACGTGACTTGCGCGACCTTTAAAATAATCCCTTACCCTTACCCTCATATCTACAGATATTCTATCGAACTGTAGCATGATATAATTATGTGAAAGAAATGTAATTAGTTTAAGTTTTGGAGGATCCAATAAGAGGAATTGAACAAAACTAAATAAGTTTTTTTTCTATCCACCTTCAGTCGAAAAAATATTGGAGCGTGCAAAAATAAAAAGTGCATTAATTTTTTTTGGGAACGCCATTGAGTGGAATCGGAACACGGGTGAAATCGTAAATCAAACGAAATTAAATATTAAAAACGTTCAAAAGTTTCAGCGCGTACTCTAAATTTAAAATGAATGTAAAGTAGATAATTCGAATTTGAGAAATTAGAGCCATTCTTTTCGCAAAAGAAAAGAAATTTAATTTAATAGTGTCGACACATGTGGCTGTCGTTTCGAGATTTTCATATTTTTGCTCTGTCCTTGTCTGCCAATGAGGAAGGGGGCGCAGATCAAGAATAAGAAATATGCCTGCCTCAGGGCATTTATATAATTCAAATGAAATGGTTCTCTTTTCCGAAGAAAATTACACTGGAAAGGGAACGACTATTTACAATGGAAATAAAACCGGATTTCCTCCACGCGTTCTCTACATTCAAATCCTACGAATATAACCTCATCTACAACGACTACACTGGTTAAATTTTAAGTGGATGCTTTGTTAGAAAATTAACTTTGTTTAATTGACTTTTACCCTAAATCAATGGAATCCCTTAATAAAATATCATATGGATACACAATAATCCTGACGTTATGAATTTATAACTTATTTTAATTAAAGACAAATTCCAATTATGTTTGTAATACCCACAAAATGCCTGCATATAATACCATTGAGCAATTATTTGATACAGCAGGATTAATAATTTTAAATCCGCTCAGAGTTTCTAAATAAGTACACTAAAAATTGGCAAATTAAGTATAGTTTTTCAACTTATTTTAGTTATAAATTTTTATCGTGCATCGTGCATAGTGTGATTCTCACCAAAACACACGTGTCATGCGATCTCTCTCTACAACAACAACGGAGGAGGAGGAAAAGAGAGAGATCGCATGACACGTGTGTTTAGCCTGCTCACCAAAAGCAATGAATCCTGTATATCTCTGATGTCTGTTTTCAAGTTAATTAAATGTTCCATAATGCGACACAAAATAACCTCTGCAGTCTTATTCATAAAACGAGAATAAGAGAAGCGAAAGCATGGCATGCCGTTGCTGTTGGTAAGAGTCCAGCGGCGTAGAATCGTGACCCAATTACCTTTGAAAATACCTTCAACCTACACACGTTTATACCATCAATTCCTTAAAATACTTCCCAAAGAAAAACAAGAACACCGTTTGTTATTAATCCTACTATTACGAAGATAAATAAAATAGAAGTAACTTTTAATATTAATTAATACGAATTAAAATTCGAATGGATCGTAATAGAGGGTAGATCATTCAAATTCTGACGTGCATTAAACCGTTTTTAATTAGTAGATCTTCGAATTTGTTCCAGCACTGACGCCGAGACATCGTTGTGTTGTCGCTAGCAAATCGAATTACTTACCCTCATTTTAACATGTAATATCTGAAAGGCTTTTAGCAGAGGGGTGGAGGTAGATGAATAGATGATACTCCAACCCCCGCCGGGCACGGAGAATGATTTCCACCATGTCAACCTAAT